CGCGTGAGAGTGTGAGTCTCTGTGTGTTTGCACGCGGGAGCGCGCGCCCGCGCGCGCGTGCCACCGCCCCCCGCCGGGGTCTGAGCCGGTTGCCATGGGAACGCGCCGCGGCCCGAGTTAATCATTTCCTGTGGAAAGTGTGCGGGAGGGGCCGGAGCGGGGCGGGCCAAGGAGGCGGTGGCGTGGAGCTGCCTCCCGCCGGCGGGCCGGGCCGGGCCGAGCCCCAGGCGCTGCGGCGACGCCGGGATCCTGCCTCCGCCAGGCCGGTGAGTCCGGGGCTCGGGCGGGAAGAGGGAGGACTGGGCGCTCGGGTTCCGCCCAGCCCGTCGTTCGGGGTGTCGCGTCCGGGATCCCCCTGCCCAGTCCCGAGGTGGGGAGCGGGGAGGGCCGGGCCCGGGAGACCCAGCCCTGCGCTATCCCGCCCCCACTCCCGCCCCCCGCGCTGTCCAGCCGGAGCCGATCAGCGCATGGGGGCGACATGTCCCCTGGAATGCAAGCTGCCTCGGGACCCCCTTTCCGATTTCAGTGGTCCGGGAAAGCCGGAGATTGCCGGGGAACCGCGTGCCGGTCAGCGCCGCCCCCTCCCCGGGCCGAGGTCCCCGGGTCCGCAAGGCTCCCTTGAACGCTGCAGTTTCGTGCCCTCCCACCGCGTAGGTCCCCTGGGCAGTTGACTTTCCCCTTCGCAGGGCCGGGTTGGGGTGGGCTAGCCGCAGGTTAGGAAGGAGGGCCTGGGCCGGCGTCCCCCTTGGCAGTGGGGAAATTGAGCCTTTGACAGCTGCAGCCCGGTGTGGAGGGGTTCCCAGCTGGGAGGGCCAGCCCGAAGCCACCTCCGTCAGCCCCCTGTTGTGAGTTAGAGCGGAACTCTGGCGCAGTGAAGGGCCTGGTCCTGGCAGATTTTAAAGAGGAAGCTGTATTTAAATTCTCAAGTACCATTTGTCACCAGCACCCCCCCCCACACACATTTGTCTCAAGGTTGGGGGTACTGGCCACACCTGGCCTTTCGCCTTCTCTGGCTTTCTGTCCGCCTGAGGCTGAGCGAGCAACTCTGCTGGCCCAGGCTGTTCCCCATGCCCTTGATAAAAGTAGCCGTCTCCTTGGCCAGAGAGTCATTTGCGAGGAATGCAGTCTGAGAATGGGGCCCTGTATTTGCAGTGACTGGACTTGAGGGATGTGGGGGTAATGAGTTCTGCTTTCCTTCTGGGCACCAAGGAACAGAGGCTTTGAAATCTGGGTTGACCTGTGAAACCCAGGACGTGTGACTGTGCGCAGGAGAGGTCCAGACCCTGTCCACCCTCCCAGACCTTCTGCCCCCTCTCCCAGGGAGACAGAGACTATGTTTCCTGGGCAGTGGTCTCTGGGCAGTTGTCAAGTCTGTCCCCCAGTCATTGCAGCAACCCTGGTCTGGGGGAAGGGGGCTGCACCTCTGCAACCCTGGCCTAAACCTGGAGAAGCTGATGGGGCTCCCCTGTAGCCCACCCCCTGCGTTCACCCACTGCTGGATATAGGTCACTGAAAAATAAAATTTGGCAGGGGTAGGGGGGTAGGGTTCTTTGTATATGTCAGTATTGTTCTTAATGTTGTGCGTATGTATTGTCCAAACTTTACACCAACCCTATTAAGGTAGAGTTCTCCCATTTCAAAGATGGGAATACTGAGGCTTAGAGACAAAGTCATTCTCCCAGGGTTGCACATCTACTAGGTGGCGCAGTCAGGCTCTGAACTAGCTTTTGGTCATAACCACGCTGTGCCCCCATCACCCGGTCCTATGACCTAGGTTTTTGAGTCTCCAGTCTTGGGCTGTTTGAAAGTCCTTGATGCTTTTGACTCTCACATCCCACAGGCTGCTAAATTCAGCTACTTTTTCCTCTTCAGGATGTTGCACACACCCTTCCTCTTTCTTCCTGATATCTTCCTGCCTCCCAACTTCCCTTCCTGAAAGCCAGGAAATAATGTGTCCTTCTGTCCCTGCCCCGCAGGCTTAGCTGATCTCCTTAAAAGTCTTCTTGGGGCTTCCCTGATGGCTCAGTGCATATAGAATCTGCCTGCAATGCAGGAGACACAGGAGACGCAGGTTCGATCCCTGGGTTGGAATGATCCGTGGGTAGGGATGATCCCCTGGAGAAGGAAATGGTAACCCACTCCAGTATTCTTGCCTGGACAATTCCCATGGACAGAGGAGCCTGGTGGGCTGTAATCCAAAGGGTCACAAAGAGTGCAACACAGCTAAGCACAGAGGTGCATGAACGTCTTCTCCCTCAACCATGGAATCGACCTTCAGTGCCGTTTGCCATCTCATCTCCCAGCAGCTCAGCATGCAGGTGGAGCCCGTCTTGCTCCCTCCTTCTTTACCCATTGGGCAGCTGATTCTCAGGGCGGAATGTGTGCCCAGCTCTGTGCTGAGTAGCCTGGAGAAGGGGACATCTGGCTACATCTCCCAGTTCCCTCCACTCCCCACTGGACCATCTCCATTTCCTCAGCAGAGCTGCCCACAGGATTAACGTCCATTCTGCCCTTTGGCCCGCAGTCCTGACCCCTGCCAGGGAGAGGGCACCCAGGAGACTCCTCCTCCAAGGTGTCTTCCTTAATCAAGGAAGGCAGAGAGCAGGACTCCCTAGCCTGGCATTCTTCCAGGGCTCAGCTCTGCGAACCTCAGGCCACTCATCCTTGGGCTCTTCCTTCTCTTGCCTCTTGATGCTTCAGTCGTTTCTGTTCCTCTGTAGACCCAGCATGTGCAGATCTCTCCTGTTCTAAATTCCGCATCCTCACCTTCCCATCCTAGCCAACTCCTCCAAAGAGAAGGAAGTGGCAGCTTCCTCTAGCCACCCCCACCCCACCTTAGACCTTCCCAGGTCTGCCCTCTGCTCTGCTCCATTGAACTTTCTTCCAATTTGATCTCTCCATGACCTGGTTCCCTGGTAATTGACCATCCTCTCCTTCTCACTCGCTCCCAGTCACCTCTGAGAACTCTGCACCTGTCTGTTGCTTCTGCCACCTCTGACCTGCCTTCTCCATCTTTCCTTCCCACTCGGAATCACCTCTGTCCTCCTTGGTTGCCTTTCATCTTGCACTACCTTTGACGACTGGATCCTCACCTGTGGCACAGTGACCCCCATCAGCCTCGCAATTCAGTGATTCCATCTCTAGCCCTGCTGTCTTCCAAGCTTCAGTTCAGGCTTTCGTGTGCATTCCTATCAAGGCGTTCACCCAAGCCTTCGCCAGTTGTTTGGTGTGGATGTAGCTGCTGCTCCAGGCTGGGTGTGTGGGACTCACCCTGGGGAACTGTAGAGGGTCAGGGGGGATGGACACTGTTTAAATAGTTTTACTGCCTGGTAGAAAGCAATCAGTGCAGTGAGGGGTGGGGAGAGTGGTTTCTAGCCAGGTGGCATCATTAGGAAATCCTTGGGTGCCTCCAACTCCATTTTAAACCCAAAGCAAATTCCACATTACCTCTCCGAGCTGACTTGGCTTCTTTCAAACATGGCATCACTTATTGTCTGAATCTGGGACTGTAGCTTGGTATCACCTTAAATGCCTTCAGAGTCGCTTTGCACGCAATAGGTGCTCCATAAAGACTTGTAAAGTAAATGAAGTCTGTCCTGTTCATTTGCTCAGTGCATAAGGGCCCTATGGGGCTTTCTACCCAGACCAGTGTTCCCCACCCCCACCCCCATTCTCCATACCACCTGGAGCCTCCTTCCCTCCTGTTCTGATTGTGGTTTGTTGAAGTGTTTGCCTCCCTCCTGACAGGGAGCTTTGAGGCCATGTCTCTGCTGATCAAAGAGGACCCCAGGCAGGTGCCTGGCACACCGCAGGTACAGGGTAGATAATTACTAAATGAAGAATGAATGAATCTTTGTATTTTCGAGTCCTGGCAGGGTGTCTGCCAGTTGTAGTACAGCGTGAGGGCTAGTTGAATACATGAATGAGCTGATTTAAAGAGAATCTTGATGCATATAAGCCTGACTTGTCAGGGCCACAGTCAGGGTGCCTTCGTAATAGATGCATGGAGATGCTGTTGCAGGCCCTGGTGGTGCCTCCGTGTGGGGCTGTGCCCGGTCTGTGTGCTGCCAGGCTCCGAGGGGAGGGGCTGCGATGTGGGGGTCTCCCCACTGTGCTGCAGATGCTCCTGGTGTGGGCTCCTTGCCCACCTCTGAGCCTCCCTTCTCCTTAATGAGAACCCTGAAATGGTGCTAGGCCCTGTTTCATCGCGTGAGCCCAGGGGGTCCTTGGGGGACATTGGAATTGGGGCTTTGGGTTAACAGGTGACCCAGCCCCTGGGGCCCTTGCAGATGGCAGGCTCCCATCTGCTTGGGGTTGAGGCAGGGGGAAGGTGCCGGCCAGCGGGCTTCAATCTCGCTTTTCTTGCTCTCTCCGCAGGCTGCCCGGCGCCCGGAGGCTACTAAGCCCCGCCGGGCCATGGTCCCGTCTCGCAGGACGTGGAACCTGGGAGCCACGCCCTCGCTGCGCGGCCTGTGGCGAGTGGGCCGGGCCGGGGAGCCCGAGCCGGGGATGGCTCGCCCCGCCCCAGCCAGCCCGGCCGCCCGCCCTTTCCCACACACCGGCCCAGGGAGGTTGAGAACTGGTGAGTCCGCATTTTTAAAATGCCTCTTTATTTCCCTTCCTTCCTCCAGATACCAGCCATGAGACCGGGGTTTCTCGCAAGTTCCTAGACTCAGTCAGAGCTGTCAGGTAATTACAGGGTACCGGCAGCCCGCGAGCCGGGCGTGGAGTCGGGGCGTCAATTTCGCTGGGCGCTCCTGCCCCGCGCCCGCCCGTCTGTAAAGACCGGCCCGGGACGCCGAGTAGTTAAACGTTAACGCAGTTTGTAGCGCAGAGCGGGGAAGGCGGCGGACAGCCACGCGCTCCCCGGCCGGCCGGGTCGCTGTGGCTCTGTGATCCGCCCGTCCTCGGCCGAGCACTCGTGGTCTCGCCCCGGTTTCTGCCCTCGGCTGGTAAACAAGGTAGGTGCGGAGCTGCCCGGCGCCCTGCGCGGTGCCGACACTTGATCCCGCCGGGGCTCGCCGGCGGATGGCGCGGAGTGGACGAAAGGCTGCTCCGGAGCGTGGCCTGGCAGAGGGTGGGTGCCATGCGCTCCTTTTAGGTGCCATCCAAGGTGGCCCCGACAGCAGGTGGGTAGTGAGGGAGTCCCCGAGCCTGGGCCCTCCCTCCCCCTGAGGGAGCTGTCAACACCGGCTCTCCTTTCTGGGTCATGTCCCCTGGCGCTGCCAACATCAAGAAGTGGGCGGCTTCTGTGATTCCCGGTGGGGGCTAGATCATCAGGCCTGCCCCGTAGGTGTCTGCCAGCCTTGGCTTGGGCAGGTCGTCCTGGAAGCGTGGGGGCAGGGGGTGTGTCTTTAGGCAGGGGGCCTTCAGGAGTTTGCTGTCTGACTGCTCCTGACCTACTGGGAGAGGGCTGTAGAAGGCCACCCTGTCTGAGTTAGCAGAGCCCTTCTGGGACATAAGGCCAAGCCCCTCCATGTACAGAAGGGAGAACCGAGGCCCAGAGAGGGTACATAGCAAGCTCCAGTTCCCTCTCTCCCAGCTCACTTGTACCATCAGTGGCAGCCAAAGTGCTGCCCTCCACGGTCTCTTCTTCAGGGACAGTGAGGCTGGGGTTGACCCTGGAGTCCTTCTGGGAAAGCCTTCTCTTGAATCAGGTGGCCCCAGTTGTCTGGAAGGAGCTGAAGATGGTTTCTACCCTGCAAGATTGTCCAAAGGATTAAGACTGTGATATGAATGAATAGTATTGCTTTTCTGGTTTAAAAAAAAGAAAGCAAGAATTGAAAAACAAAAACATGTTATTTTTGAAAACTTAAAAAAAAAAACAAACACAAAACCACAGAAAGGTATAAAAAAGAAGACTCACCTAGAAGCTTGTCACTAAACATTTTATATAGTTCCTTCCAGTCCTGCATGTGCATATTGCTCTCTTAAATTAGTATTATGAAGCCATACAGACTTTTATCCACTTTTAAAATTTAAGACAAAGGTCCAGTGAAATCCTGTGTGTGAAATGCCAAGCATGGTGCCTGCCACTGGGTAGAGTTTCAGCCAGTATGGGTGTCCCTAGACCCCTCTACCTGCACCCCGCCCCCCACACTTACCGCCACTTTGAGAAGCAAAAGCAAGCAGAAGGTGGGTTAGCACACGGGATTGGAACACTGGCTTCATGTGACCCTGGGCATATTATTAACCCTTCTGGGCCTCCGGTTCACACCTCTCTGGGTTGTTGTAAGGAGCTATTGGTCTGCATTGGTGACTACCTTCTGTGTGAGCACTTTACATGTATCACCCCATTTAATCCTCATCGCATGACTGAAGTTGGTTAATGCCCATTGTATTGACAAGGAAACTGAGGATCAGGAAGGGAAGTAAGGCCTGGAGAGCACTTGGTCCAGTGCTGGCAGTCAGGATGTGATAGCTCCCCAGGGTGGGGGCTCTGCAGTTTACCCCTTGAGGCGAGTCCCCTCTCCCATCCCGTCCAGCCCCACAAACTGTACTGGAGGGCTGAGGTTTAGTGGTGAATGGGGTATTGAAGCCACAGTCAGCCCTTTCCCGCCATCTGGTGAGGGAGGCGACATGTTAGACTCGAGAGGATGTGCTTTAACTGGTCCTGGATGCGCTTTTGAAGGCTGCGGGGACCAGGCCACCCAGTGTGGGGTTGGTCTTTATGAAGGCAGGGGAGAAATTGCCACCTAGAGGCGGCCTTGGTAATGAGGTCACGGCCCTGGGGTGCACCTCCTGTGAGGATTAGCACAGTCGGGGTGGCGTTGGCTTCCTTCTGCTGCCCTCCGTAGAGGGTTGCTTGTGGGCACGTGCCAACCCTAGGGCCACTGTGGAGGGAGGGGAAGCCCCCACCTCCGGGGAGGTTGGTCTTGGGCGACCTCCTGCAGAGGATCCCCAGGCGGTTTGTGGTGAAGAAAGAGCTCAGCCCCTGCTCAGCGCCAGGCCTTTTTTGTGCCGGGCAGGCATGTGAGGGCGTGTGAGTCCCTCCTGGCGGCTGAGCTGCCCTGAGTATGTGAAAGGAGAGCTAAGCCTCAGCCCTGGCCACTGATCCCTGGCCAGCAGCCTCCAACCAGCATCCGGCATCTCACCTGTCTCTTCTGTCCTGGGACAGGGCGTGGAAAAGACAGCTCGGCCGGCGGTGACGAGGACTCGGGCGCCCGAAGTGCAGCTCGCCCGGCCCTGGCTCAGTGCCGAGCCCTCAGCGTGGACTGGGCTGGCCCCGGGAGCCCCCACAGGCTCTACCTGACCCTGCAGGTAAGTCTGGGGGCTGTCAGAAACTCTGGGTGTCTAGCCGGGCAGGTGTGCCGTGGCCCTTTGAATACCGGCTGCTGGGCTCCTCCGGGGAAGGAGGCCGCAAAGGGGACGGGTCTCACGCCTCCTGCCAAGCTCCTTCATAGCACACCCACCCTGAGCCTGCCTGTGTGGGGCAATTTGCTTTATTAGGTTATCTGGCGGGAAATCTCACAGGAGATGACAGGAGCTTCTCAGCCACGCCCTGACTGAAGTGTTAAAGTGGGAAATGTGGGGCCTTCAGTGAGAAGCTATTAGGAAGATGGGCAGGCTTTTAGGGGAGCTGTTTATTCCCAGTGGGGCATATGAGTCCATGGGGGCAATACTTAAATTTCCTCATTTAAAGTGAGGACTTTACCAAAACTTGATTTCTTTTCTCTTGCAGTCGTCACTGCAAGTCAGTTATCATGGGACTTTCAAAAGACTGACTTTACATTTATATATATAGTATTTGGTTGTAGAATGAAGACATCCTGATAGCAGTAATAATATTTACTGAACGCTGGCTTTATACCAGGCATTATGGCATATGTTATATGTCTCACATCAGTCCAAGACACAGTTACTGTTTTATGGATGAAGTAAAGGAGGCTCAGAGAGGTTAAGTGACTTGCTACTGGTCACACAGCAAGCTGGGGTCTGAACATGATGAATTTTAAAAGTGGTATAAAGAACTCACACATGTGGCATGTAATATCTAGAAACTGAATGTCTCCTGTGGTCCTGTGTCTTTGAGAAATCCACTATTAATTTATTTATCTTTTCTATACAACTACTTGATTGCATTTATACAGTTTTTATTCTTTATTTTTGCCTTCTATTCTGTGACTAGCTCTTTCCCTCAATAGTAAGTCTTGGTGATTTCTTCTTGCCTGTCAATATATAGAGAACTACCTCATTCTTTTAAACTGCCGCATAATATTCTACTTCAGGGTTTAGCTCACTGATCTTTTGTATTGTTTCTGATTGCAAAGAGCTCCTTAAACAAATACCGATGCATTCGTGCACCTAAAACTTTTAGCAATTTCAGGACAGCACAGGCTCTGCAGTTTTATTTTTGCTGCACCACACAGCATGTTGGATCTTAGTTCCCTGACCAGGGATTGAACCTGAGGCCTTTGCATTGGGAGTGCAGAGTCTTAACCACTGGACTGCCAGGGAAGCCCTTGTAATTTTTTAAATGGATGCAGCTGTTAACAGATATTTTTGCAAGCGCCTACTCTGTAAGAAGACTATGCTGGCACAGAGTCAAGAAGAGAAATAGACCTGGCAGTCTAGCAGAGAGTCCAGGATGGACAAACATTGACATAATGGCTGAGGATGAAGGATCAGAGTTATCTGGAGGTGTTGCCAAGGCCCCTACCCATAAGAAAGATTGTGCGTGACAGGGGCTACCTTGAAGGGACCCAGGCAGATGGAGGGCAGGGTGGGTGCAGGAGATAGGTGCCATTTGAGTGTGTGGTTTCAAGTCCTGATCTGTACATGAACCCCTTGCTTGTTGCATCAGAGACAGTCTTGGGCTTCCTGGTTTTTCTCATCCCCTCTGGTGTGGTTCATCTGAAGATGGAACCGAATGGTCCTTTTTTTTTTTTTTTTTTAACCTATAAGTTCCTGCTAGAAATGCAGGTCTGGTGCAGGAACAGTTAAACAAAAAAATAGAGAACCATTTTTTTTTTTTTTAAATCGGACTCAAGCCATTGGTATTTAAATCGGGAGGTGGTCAGAAATGGGCAGCCTTGAGTTGGGTGGAGGCTCTGTTCTTGAATTTTGATTATGGGCTGTTGGGTTGTGGTTGCCGCTGAGTCCTGGGGTCAGCAGATCTACTGAGGATGTGAGACGCTGCCGCCAGCCACCAGTTTCCACATACGTGTTCTTCTGAGCTGGTGAAGCTTAATTATGTTTATAGGAGCTTCGAGAAGGGGGTTGTGAGGCTCAAACAGGGACCCAGACCCAGTGAAGTGACCTGGTGGCCTGGTGATCTCCTCCACAAGCTTCTCAAGCAGTTAAAACCCGAGTCACTCCCTTTGGAGGCTGCAGAAATTCCCAACCCCCAGGGGCCTGTCTGCCCTTCCTGTGGCTTGGCCAACGGGCCAGAAATAGTGTAACCTTTGCTCTGGACGGCAGATGGAAACTTCCAGCTGCTGCCTTTGCCTCCGCCGGTGACAAGGCTGCTCATGCTGGTGTGGCAGTTGGTCAGAGGGTGGGGATAAAATTAAGTCGGCGGGAATTTTCCTAAATACGAGACATGCTCACCACTGTTCCTTCTGGAGTAGAAAGCAGAGTTTCTGTTTTAAGAATGGGACGATGAAGCTTCAGGGAGGGTTAAGTAACTTGCCCACGGTCACACAGCTTACCTGAGTCAGGCTTCACACCGAGGCCTTTCCGACTCTAGACTTGGAATATTTTTTAAACATAGCAGTTGTCTTTTTGTTTTGAATAAGGCTGGCACAAAGACACACCAAAAAGTGCCTGTAATCTTCCATTCTGGATAGCTTCTGTTATCAAAGATAACAAAGCAGAACACCACAGATGCTTACAAGGTTAAAAATGCAAAGGCCAGAAAGGTTCAGAATGAAACATAAAGCCTTTCCTTTCTCCCCACTTTCTCTTGCAACAAGTTTCTTTTGATTTCCCCAAAGTTTGCATGTGTGCTCAGTTGCTCAGTCATATCTGACTCTTTGCTGCCAGGCTCCTCTCTCCACGGGATTCTCCAGGCAAGAATACTGGAGTGGGTTGCCATTTCCTCCTCCAGGGGATCTTCCTGACTCAGGGATTGAGCCCACATCTCTTACATTAGCAGCTGGATTCTTTACCACTGAGCCGCCAAGAAAGCCCATCCCTCAAATTTAAATGATGCCCCGATACCATCACCCAACCTCCAGAGGAAACCAGTGTTTATTTTCCCCAGATTTGGGAGAGGGAGGGGAAGGCCTCTTTTATTTCCATTATCCTTAAATGGGATTGCACCTTACCTGTGGTTCTGCTGTTCACACCTTACCTGTCATCCTGTGTGAGTTGCATGTGATTTTCTCTGGTTGAAAGGCTCTTTCTGCCTCTCCCCTCATCTCCCCGCCAGTTCACTGATCTCTTCTCCTCCCGCCTTCTTTGCCTTGATTCCTCCTTAACCTGGAGACAAGGTCTCATGGTCCTGGATAGCCATGCGTACACGTGGACCATGGCCTTGCCCTGCCCGTGTGGACCCGTGTGCCTCCTCCTTGGCAGTTCTAGGCTGGGTGCCGTCTGAAGGGGGATGGAGGCAGCTGACGTCACGGGTGGGCGTTGTTGCCCTGAGACTGCCGTGTGCCTGGTGGGGCTGGACAGGCTTGTGAGTGGTGGGACGAGGGTGCACCTGAAGCAAGCAGGCCACTGCACTGGTGACTCAGGGCTCACAGGTCGGCCAGGTGAACTTCACCTGAGGATTTCTAGGTGCCCAGGAACCTTGTTTGCTGGTCCTGAGGGCCGGCTGCCGATGAGGGCCAGGAGAACGCCTGCTCCCTCTCACTGTGAGATCTGGGCGCGTTTTCTTCCGGACTCTGGGCCTCCTTGTTCCCACCCACCCACACAGTGAGGGGTGGACCAGCAGGGTCTGGGGTCCTCACCAGCTCCAGGAGCATGCGCCATCCTCAGGCTCCACGGGGGTCCCCTCCCCACTGCGATCCCCCCTCTTCATGTGAGGATTCTGATTGTGTCTTGGCAGCAGGCCCTGCGGGACAAGGGGTGCGAGAGCAAGAGTCAGGGGACGAAAGAAGAGAAGGCCCTGAAGAGACAGGCGCCGGCCCCCAGGAGGGACCGGGAGGCCCAGGAAGCTGGTGGCGCCATGAATGTAGAGAAAACAGGTAAAGGAAGTCTGCCCACTCACCTGGCACAGCCCTGGCTAACGCTGGTGTCGGAGGGGAGGCTCTTGTCCCCAGCCACTGTCCTTCTGGCCTGGAGTGGCCGCCTTGACATGGAACTCGGAGACCCCAGCCTGCCCATCCCGACTCCAGGGACGCCCTCCTCCTGGTGCCGCTGGGCACCAGCCGGTGATAAGCAGCTTTGGCCAGCACACGCTGGGGTTGAATTTCCCTGCTTTTTTGTCTTTTCCCCAGCGCCTGTCAAAAGCAGGACGAGGATGGCAGCCGCAAAGACGCCACCGCCTGCAGAGGCTTGATCCCCTCCTCTTGTATGTCCGCGGGTCTGTCAGGGACCCAGAGGCCCTGGGACAGGGATTCGCTCTGCTGTGTCAAGGCTGGGAAAGAGGAGCTGGTGGCTCCCGTCTTTTCCGGCGAGGCTGACAGTTCTAGAAGATTCTGTGGGCCCTCTTTGTGGGGTTCCCCAGCAGGAACCCAGAGCCCAGCAGCTGTCGGGGAAGGGCATTCTCAAGAAACCCGAGGGGAAGAAACCCAAGAGTGAGTGGGGAAAGGAGCTGGCCTTTCTCTTGTTTGCCTTCTCCTGTCACCAGAGATTGTTTTGTGTCTGAACTTGAAAGGTGGAAGGAGCCACCCCTTCGCTGAGGTTGATCCAGGGCCTCCTTTACCTGTCTGGGCCCGGCACTCATTTGGGGCCAGGTGTTGGGGTCTGGCCGGTCTGTGGAAGTGGGGGCATTGTCCAGCCATTCTGGAGGTCTGACTCTTGTTAGTGGGTCTGGGGCTGAGCTTCCCCGAGCCTGGGTGCCCTTGAGGGGCAGTGTCCAGGCAGGGTCTCAGAGAAGGAAACTGTCTTCTGAGAATGTGGACGGACAGCTGAGCTCCTATGATGATGCAGTGCTCCCTCATCCCCCTTTTAAGTTCTCCTTTAATCGCATCTCTCCCTCCTCTGCTGTTCTCTCTTAGCTTCCTCAAGGTCTTTTCCTCCATAGTAAATGTTCTCCAGGCCCCTTGTGGCTCCCCTGGCACGTGGGCCATGCCAAGGTTAAGATGAAGCCCCCCAGCTGTGGGCTGAGAGTGAGATAAGCCGCATCCCAGCAAGGAGGGCTATTCCAGTCCTGCTGGGCAACACACCTGTGCGCCCCTCATGGGTTCCAGGTGCCTGCCCAAGATTGCCTCTTTGGACAAGGACCATCGTCCCCATTTCACAAGGGAAGCCCCAGTGGGATCCATCCATAGGGCTCTGAAGTGGCAGTGCCAGCTCTTGGACCTAGAGTCGAGAGCGTTTCCTGCCACCCCACGGCAGTCTGCAGAGGGCACAGGGCCGTGCTGGTCACATGCTGTCTATGGCAGCTCCGGGTGCTGGCCTGGAAGCATCCATCTGACCTCGCGCTCTCTAGAACAGAGAGCAGAAGCCTGGCCAGCTGTGTGTGACATGCATACAGTGTCACATGCAGGCCGCACGGCCAGAGCCCCCTGGCCAACCAGTGTTGGCCCCCGTTCCAGCTCTCCAGAAGGCCTTGAGTTGGAGCCAACCCTTGGGGTTGGGAGGAAGGGAAAGGCAGTCTGTGTGTGCAGGGCCTGCTCCTTCGAGAGTGGATGGCTTCTCACTGTCCACCCCTCATGGGCCCAGTGCTGAGCTGTTCCGTCCAGCCTGGAACCAAGGCCATCTGTGCCGCACGTTCCCGCTTAGTCCAAGAGCTAGGCTGCCATTTCGGCTTCTCTGCCATCTCATTGAACACACCTGTCACCTTCCTGTGGGTTTAAGATGGACTGTGTGACTTCAGGCGCAGATGGCTTTATTTCCAGAGTCTGGGGTCTCCCCCACCCACGCCATCCTGCCCACACAGGACTGCAGCTTCTGGGACCTGGCGTGGGGGATCCCAGATGCCCTGGTGCTCTGCCAGGGTGGAGGCTTGCAGCAACTCTTCACGCCTCACTCTTGGACACTTTGTCCTGCCTCACGGACTTTGGCCAGGACCTGGATTAGGCTGCCCAAGACGGGAGGCAGATCTCTGCCCTTCCAGCCTCTCCTCTGTCTGCTGCCCCACCCCCTTGCCAGCTCCCCACCTGCAGAGACAGTGGTCATTCTTGGTGCCATCAAAGCAGGCTGTGATGGGCATGCCAGACGCCATTAGCAGGTCCCAGGCCTTGATTCTGTGTCTCTGTCCTTCTGTCCATCAGTCTGTGTCTCTTCTGCTCCTGGTGACAGGATGGTGGAAGGCGGAGACCCCTGCCCACCCCAGGATTTCTCCCTCCCTTTTGCCTGTGTGGTCCCTGTATTCAGTCCCACAGGAGTCCGCCTGGGAGCATGCTTGGTGATGCTCCTGCTTGCGTGCTGCTGCATTTGTCCCGTGTCCTGGTCTGTCTGTCCCTTGTGCACGCACACCTCCGCTTGCTCTCTCTCTCTCTGCAGTGATCACTCCCTGTGGAGGGCAGGGGCCAGGCTGGTGAGCCCCCTGCTCTCTTCTCTACCCTGGAGAAGGTTTGGGGTGTAAAGAAATCACATTCCACCAAGGATAGTGTTTTCCAGGGAGACAACAGCGGTTGCCGGAGGCACGTCTTTCTCAACTGCAGGTCCCTGCAGGCTGGCCATGGAGAGGATGTTGCCCATCAAACCTAGAGCATGGGCTGTGGGGAAGTAATGAGTGGAAGTTGCTTTCCTGACTCCTGGCCCAGGCAGTGCTACCCACCAGAAGCTTCCTGCTAAAGTGGCTTCCTCCAAGGCAGGCTCTGGAGGCCCCCCCACTAACCCACCGGCACCCTCTCACGCCTGCTGCTGCTCCAGCCCTTCTGCTTGCATCCACTCCCGCCCCCGTGGTCCATCCTGCCATGACAGGCCCCCTGTCCTCGGCCAGGCTGGGGCCTCTGCTGCCCCGCTGATCGGCCGCTACTTTGCTCATAGGTGGGCGGCCCTTTGGCAGCGGGAGGTGCTCGAGCCTGTCGGGGTCGCCCGGTGCCGCCCCCGTGGTACATAGGATGGTGGAGGCCATGTCCCAGCTGCGGGAGGAGAAAGCCCAGCTGCAGGAGGAGCTGGTGGCCCTGCGGGAGAGGCTGGCTGTCCGCGACAGTGAGCAGCAAGCCACGTCCACGCAGCTGCAGAACCAGGTATCTGGGGAGGGTGGGACGGGCTGAGGCCACTGCCCACTGTGGAACAGGTCAGAGGACGTTGCCCAGGGTACCTGGGACCCTCCAGACCACCTGCATAATGGACAGATGGAGTCTCCTCCCCTGGCTTGGGAACACATGGAGGCCTGGGCCTCCCGTCCTGGTCCTCCACGTGCCATTCCTCGAGGTTACCAGGGGGCCAGATCTGCCTCTCCACGAGTGGCAGGCAGTATGTGTAGACATGGGCGGAGCAGGAACGCGCAGGGATGTTCCTGCTCTGAGGCTGGTGCTGAGTCCTCTCCATCTTCCGAGGTGCTCTGGCTCGGGGAGCCACATGGACCAAACTCATCGCAGAGGTTGCCCCATGGAAAACTGGCAGGAGATGAGAGACTGGGAGTGTGTACCAGGGAGAGAAGGGAGCTCTCAAACCTCTGGGAGCCAGAGAAGGTGAAGGTTCATGCTGGCCAGTGTTGTCTCCTGCATTAGCTGGCCAGGAGGATGCTGGGGATGCCACAGGCCCTGTGGGCTGACCCCTGGCCTTCCCTCAAGTGCCTGGTTAATTCACCCCTTCCCACCATCATGTGGGCCCCGAGGCCCCTTTCCTGGGGCTCAGCTCCCCACTCTTATCATCAGTGTCTATCTCTCAGGCCTGAGTCTGACCTTTCCCACTTCCCCAAGGTCCCCATCCCTATCTGCACACCACCTCCATGTTGGAGCCTGTGCCTGTGCTCCTGGGCCTGGCTCTCTGTAGAACGCCCTGCCTTCAGGTGGACCAGCTTCTTTCTCTATGATTGCCCAGCCTGTGGATCTTCTGTTCCTCATTACTGGATGCTGTGACTTGTTCTCAGTTCCGGGGGCAGCAGATTATTTTCATGCACTTTTATTTATTTTTTTATTTTTGGCTGTGCTAGGTCTTCGTTGCTGCATGTGGGCTTTCTCTAGTTGTGGCCAGTGGGGGCTGTTCTTCGTTGCGGTGTGCAGGCTTCTCATTGTGGTGGTTTCTCTCACGGCAGAGCACAGGCTGTAGGTATGCTGGGGTTCAGTAGTTGGGGACCACAGGCTTAGTTACTCCGCAGCATTATGGGATCTTTCCCAGGCCAGGGATCGAACCCATGTCCCCTGCATTGGCAGGTGGATTCTTACCCACCTTGCCACCAGGGAAGTCCTCATGCACTTTTCAGATGCAGCGTTTTTCAGCTTACAAGTGAGTCCTCAGGCTCTCTCTGTCCTGACCACCCATCCTTTGCTGAGTTGGGTGGGCCTCCCTGGTGCCCAGTCTGTCTGTCTCCTCGTACATTGACCCCCACTGTTTGCTGCCCCTGGTCTGGTCTGTCCCAGTCGTGGGAGCTCTTCACGGCAGGTGTAACACACCAACTTTGTATCACTGTTGCCTCCTGCTTTCCTGCCTCAGATGGCTGCTGAGTGCCTGGTCTGTAGGGGCACCCAGCTGAGCAGTGGGGGTGCCCAGGTGGACAGGCACGCCCTGGCCTGTGACAGCTACAGTCTAGGGGAGGACAGACATTTGTCGCTTGCATTTATGTACAATTGGGAGAGTAACAAAGTCTCTGCTGGCGGGCGCAGAGGGCATGAGGGCTTCTACCAGATGCCTTTATCAGGGAGATCAGGACCTGCAGTGGGGAGAGCTCTTCCTTCCCCGACATCCCTTGGTTTAGTTTGTCCAGGCACTTCACTTTTGAAACAAATTTTGTTTTGTTTTTTTTAAAGAAGTTTACTGAGATAGAATTCACATTCCATAGAACTCATCCATTTAAGGTATACAATGTATGGTCTTTAGTATATTAAGGTGATGATGCAGCCGTCACCACTGTCTAACTTTAGAACATTTTTGTCACCATTCAAAGACCTATTAAGTCACTCCCCATGTCCCCTTTCCCCCAACCCCTGGCAACCACTGCCCAGCTTTCTGGGTTTTTAAAAAAATCTTTTGGGCTCACCCACCGCATGGCTTGTGGGATCTTAGTTCTCTGACCAGGGATCAAACCTGTCCCCTGCATTGGCAACATGGAACCTTAACCACTGGACCATCAGAGAAGTCCTGTGCCCTGCTTTCTGTTTATATGGATTTATCTTTTCTGAACATTTCATATAAATGAAATAATATGTGGCCTATTGTGACTTTAAACAAATGTTTGTGTGCGTGCATGCTAGTCTCTTCTGTTGTGTCTGATTCTTTGTGACCCCCATGGACTGTAACCCATCAGACTCCTCTGTCCTTGAAATTCTCCAGGCAAGAATACTAGAATGGGTTGCCGTGCCCTTCTCCAGGAGATCTTCCCAACCCCCATCTCCTGTGGCTCCTGCATTGCAAGCAGATTCTTTACCACTGAGCTACCAGGGAAGCCCCTAAACAAATGTTTAAGAAACATTTTTTTTTCCCTTGAATTAGCAAAACTGACTTACTTTTTAGACGGGAAGTTGAGGGTCAAGCATCTCAGTCTTTTTGGTCTTTGAGCCGCAGCTCTCCAGGCAGTCCTGACCCCTTCTCTCATCCCAACCCTCACTCCTCTGGATGATCTGGAGAATTCCGAATGGTTCCCAGTCTTGGCTCATGCTTATTCCTGCAAACTCTTGTCTGAAAAAGTAAATCAGGAGATGCACCTGAAAGTCCAGGTCTCTGAACCACTCTTGGGACGGTCTGACCCTGTGGAGCTGAGGGCCTGGAGCCCCATCCACATCCCGACTGGCACTACTCATCAGCTGTGTGACCTTGGGTTAATTACCACTTTGCACCTCAGTTTCGTCATCTGTAAAATGGACATAATAACAGTATCTGGTGAGATGACCAGTATTATTGGTGTCACCGCCATCACCGCCCTCATCGTTACTGGGAGGAGTGTTGGAGTTGGAATCACATGCGCAGGGTTTGAGCACTTTCTGTGCCGCTGTAGTAAGTCACTTCCTCTGAGCCTTCATTTACCCATCTCTAAACTGGGTCTAATAGATGTTGCTTCATGGTTCCTGAGCAGCTCAGTTATGAAACTGGACAGAAAAGTGGATCATAAACTGGAAAATGTTGTGCCTTGTGAGGTATCACGTCTGTGTGCTCTGGTTTCCTGTCAGCCTCACTGTGGTTTGACACAGATTGACCTTCTTGGTTTTTCTATATGTTGCTTCTCTAAGAAGAGCCCACCATGGGGTACCCTCCACCTTGTTCTCAGGAGGCCTCCTGGTTCCCATTCTTGTCCAGACTTATCTTTGAACTCAACTGGCTTTGTCATGTTGCTCTTCCTGAAAAGCCACATGGCCTAGTGGTTAGGACTGAGGGCTCTGCAGGGGCTCCAATTCTAGTGCCGGCAGTTAGTGCTCAAGTGACCTTGAGCAAGATTAACCAAGGCTTAATCTCTTGGGACCTCAGTTTTTCCTAGTGTAAAATGGAGATAATAATAGCATGTACCTCACAGGATTGGGGGGTTCACAGTAATGATCGAATCAAGAAATCATTGCCAAATCTAATGTCATGAAGCTTTTCCCTTGTTTTCTTCTAAGAGTTTTATATATAGTTTTAGCTTTTGTATTTAGATCTTTGATCCATTTTGAGTCCATTTTTGTATATGGTGTTAGTAAGTGTCCAACTTCATTCTTTTGCATGTGGATATCATTTTCCCAGCACTACTTGTTCAAAAGACTATCCTTTCCTCATTAAAAATCTTAGCACCCTTGTCAAAAATCAGTTGACCAGATACATGAAGTTTTATTTCTAGGCTATCCTACTCCGTTGGTCTATATATCTGTCTTTATGCCAATTCCACACTTTTTGGTTTACTGGAGCTTCGTTGTAAGTTTTGAAATTAAGAAGTATGGGTCCTCCAACCTTACACTTCTTCAAAATTGTTTTGGCTATTTGGGATCTTCTGAGATTTCATGTGAATTTTGGGATGGACTTTTCTATTTCTGCAAAAAATGTCATTGGGATTTAAATAGAGATTGCATTGAATCTATAGATTGCTCTGGGTAGTGTTGACGTGTTAGCAATATTGTTTCCAAACTATGAATGCAGGATATGTTTCCATTACCATTATCATCTTTAATTTCTTCCAGCAATATTTTATAGTTTTTAGTGAACAAGGTTTTGCCTCCATAGTTGCTCTATTCCTACATATTTTATTCTTTCTGATGTTATTGTAAATGAAATTGCTTTCTTAATTTCCTTTTTTATTGTCCAGTATTAGTGCATAGAAACACAACTGATTTTTAGTGTGTTGTATCCTGTAACTTGGCTGAATTTATTAGTTCCAGTTGGCCTGAGTTTTTAATGCTCGTTAGTTGCCACCATTTAAATCTTAGTTAAGTTCATATAAAAATCTCAGCTTCTATTTTTTGTCATAAAATATTGGAAGATGTGGCACCTCTGGGCTGACATTCCCACTGCCTGGAGCCCAGTAGCCACTGCTGCCTTTGGTGGAAGGGAGCATCCTGCAGTGAGCCCCAGCCCGCACCACGTTTGCTGCCTCATGACCTGCCTTACAGCTCACTCACTCAGGCGTTCAACACTCTTTCTGTATGTGTTTACTGAGCACCTACTATATACCAGGTGCCATTCTAGACACTTGGAGTACAGCGCTGACACAATAGACAGATATTTCTGCCTATCTGAACTTTCATTCTATTAATAGAACTCCTTACGGTGCTGGGCACTGTCCTAAGCACTTTGCATATGTTATCTCTTGTAATCTCACTTAATCCTCCAGACCTCCTCAGTAAGGTAGCCTCAGTAAGGTATCCTACAGCTAAGGATATGGAGAAAGGCATGGTGGACCTGAGACACGTCCAAGGTTGTCCGGCACATAGGGCAATGTCTGTATTGCTGGGCAAGTCCGGCCTGAGAGTCCGTGATCCCAGTGACCCTTGGTGGCAGAGAACTCACATGTGAAAACCCAGCAGTAGAGTCAGGGTGGACGGACGCAGCCAGACAGGTCTGGTCATTGGTCACATATGTAGGCAGCCCGGAGTCAGGTCTCCTGGGATGGGGAGTGTGTTGGGGGCAAGACAGAGTGCTTCCCAGGGCTGCCCCTTGGGCCTCTAGACTATGTTCCCTTTGGGCCGTCTGGATCCCAGGCCCTCTCATTTTCCCAGTTCAGGAGCCCCTTGATCTCGCCACTGGGACAGCCCTTCGTTCCTCAGAAGACAGCTGATGATGGAGGGCCAGGCTTGGTGGGAGGTCGAGGGTGGGTAATCAGTAGGTTGTCTGCATTGAGAGAAGCAGACAACTGGGAAAACGCAGACCAGCCCGGGCAGCCCCACCCTCTGCTGAGCCTGCTTCTGCTGGGAGATGTAACTATGGGTTGGTGTCAGGTCAGCAGACAGGCCCCATCTCCCAGGTCTCCCCCGAGGCTGCCCTGCACCAGGCCTGTGACTCAGTTTCTCTCCGATGACAAGGAGTCTGAGCTCAGGGAGTGCGTGTATGTTAAGTTGCTTCAATCGTGTTCGACTCTGCGACTCACGGACTGTAGCCTACCAGGTTCCTCTGGGATTCTCCAGGCACGAATACCGGAATGGGTTGCCATACCCTCCTCCAGGGGATCTTCCCAACCCAGGGATCAAACCTGTGTCTTTTATGTCTCCTGCATTGGCAGGCAGGTTCTTTACCACTGGTGCTACCTGGGAAGCCCCAGGGAAAGTGTTGCACAAACTCAGCCTGGTCGCTTCTCAGCGCTGGGGTTGACCGCGTTTGAACCCTCTTGGTGTACAGATGCAGGTATGGTCGCTGACTCAGAGCTGTGCTGGGTGTGCAAAGGGGGTGCCTGTGGGGCCCCCCTCCCCCTGAAAGCTCTGCCCTCTGGTCAGGTTCACCCTCAGCTCCCCGTCTCTATGCTGAGCCTGCCCCCCGTCGTGGTTCTGTCTCTGTCTCCGTTGCCCACTGTTTTCCCTGACCCCGAGGGACTCACCTGTTCCCCTCCCAGGCTGGGAGAAAGCTACCATCTTCCCCGCGGCCCCCCGAAGCTGAGCCCTTTGTGTGGGGGGCAGATGTCCTGCGCCTGGGCAGCGCGTGTTCTTCCTTCCCAGCCCCTAATGGAGCTGGCCGGCCGGGGCATAGCCACCGCACACCACGGGGTGGTTTGTGCCTGAGCAGCCGTCCTGCGGTGCTAGTGTGTCCCCCCACTGCCCGAGACAAGCCGGGAGAGAACGAGGGTCTGACATCTCTGACAAGAGGGGTCTTTTACAGCCTCTTCCTCATGCCCCACCTCACCCCTAGCCTGCCCCCCAGGGCAGCCTCTGCCTTTTGGGGTGCCCCTCTGAAATTCCAGACAGAGGCTTGGCACTCCCACAGTTCCGATTGTGATGTAAGAAGAGAGTAGGAACTGGGCTGCAGGCAGGTGGCAGGTAAGCATCCTGACTACCTCCCCCCCCAGATAAACACTGGAAACCCCATTTTCACTGCATTGGATCTGAGTGCCACTGGTGCTGGGGCCACACAAGGTCTGAGTACCCCCAGCCTGGTGCTGAGGAAGCAGTCTGTCGGGGCACTGACTCCGTGCAAGTGGATCTTACTGGGTGGTTTCTGAGGAAGGGTAGGGAGGTGGGGGCCCCCAACCTTTCAAAACGAGGTGGACTCCACCTGTTTCAGGGTGGAAGGAGTGCAAGAGAAATATATATTCTTTGAGACTTAAAAATTACTGCAAAGTGTTAAACATTTGTCAAACATAATCCTGCTATCCAGCGCCCTCTACGTTTTTGTATTGCAAATACAATTTTGATTTTGGATTTTTCTTTTACTTAATACATTGAGGAGCGATTCCCTACATCATTTAAAATTCACGATAAGCATATAAGTAACAGTTACACAGTAGTGTATTAGTGCATTTACCGTGACCTACCTAACCATTCCCCTAATGCTGGGCACTCAGGTTATTGCCCGTTTCATGACTAAGGAATGAAAGGCTGCTTTATTCAAACTCCCCTCTAGGGCAAAGGGACTGAGCACTCTGTGTCCGGCTCTTAACAGAAGGGGGTGTTGGAGTGGGCAGAGAAGTAGCATAGGCTTTGCTGCCTGCCTTGGTCCATGTACAGTGCATTGCTAGGAAGGAATGTGCTGGTGGAGCAGGTGACAGAGGTGACCTTCTCGGGTGCCCGCCCTTAAGTCACCTGCTTGTCCACCAGCAGGCTTTGGGCAGCCAGGTTGGTCCTCCCAGCCCCTCTCTTGGTCTTGTGTCTTGTACTCCACCTCCTCAACTATGAGTGCGCAGCTCGCTGGTATCACTGGTCTTTTCCTCAGAGGTGGGGTCACGCCTGTGACCCAGTTCCTCCCCCAACCTGCTCAGAGAAGCAGAGGCTCACTTGTGGTTCAGCCGCTTTCTCCAGCCCCAGGAGATGGTTGGTTCTGAGCTCATGCTCAACTGATTGTTGATGACATTTCAGCTATATGTAGTGGGGAGATTTAATATGCACAACCTGAAAATCTCAATGTCTGGCTCGCTCGAAAGGTCAGAAGTTTGGCAACGCTGGGCCTGTATCCCCCCTGCCCCCCCCCCCTTTCTTCAGGTGGATCTTGGGCATCTAGTCCTGCACTGCCTTCCACCTGCCTTACCTGGCTGGTGGACTCTGTAGGCAGTAGGCTTTGTCTCCTGGTGTCTAGTAATAGCCAGCCCAAGGCTTTGTGGCCTGCTTGTGTAAACTGCACCTCCTTATCTCCGTGGAGGGAGCCTTACTCTCTCGTGGTACCTTTCCCAAGGTTCCCTGTGGTCATCACAGAATGTTCTGCAGGGAAATCCCTAAACATGCCCTGATGAATGCTGGTGCCAAAGTCTTCATCTGCATTTTGGGTTATTTCCGAGGGGAGAGTTCCTGAGGGGGGGCTGCCAGGGTCTAGGCCTACGTGGAGAGCAGGTGGCCCCCCGGGATTCTGCTCTCTGGGGGCTGGTTTCTCCTCCTTGGGCTCTGGCTGACTCAGGTCATCCTCGCCTCCTGATTGGAGTGCACACCCCATGGATCTCCGGCAAGGCAGACTGGAAGCCAGGATGATCTCAGATCCTATAGATGTGCTGGTCACTGGCCGGCTGGTGTCTCCACAGACAGACTCCCCAGGAACCACTCAGGGTGGAAAATTCTAGGGGCAAGTCAAGGACCAATCCACGTTTTGTAGTGCCTGGAGTTTATACAATTTGAAGGCCTATTAAGAAAAAAGGATAGAGAGTTACAATTACAAAAGTAGGTACAGGCCTGGGAAGGGGTCTAGGCAAGGCAGGTGTCCTGAGGGTGAGCCCCTTGAGTCCCCCATCGAGCTGTCCCTGGAGTGGGCCCAGGGGTCCCCTCTCCATTTTCGCTTCCTGGACTCTCCTGAGAGCCCAGGCTGGCCGGTCCTGTGATGGGAGAAGGTGCTGAGAGCTGTCAGGATCAGGTCAGGTGCATCGCACCTGGATTTTAGGTGTGGTCTGATGTATGAACACAGGGAGGGCTGGGGCCATGGGGTTGGGCGAGAGGCCTGGGAGTGAGGAACCAGGCTTACCACCCCAGCTTTCTACTGGCAGGTGGAACATCTGAAGGAGAAACTCATAAGCCAAGCCCAGGAAGTGAGCCGCCTTCGATCTGAGCTGGTGAGATCCTAACGCCATCCTAACGGGGCTGAGGGGTGGGGAGAAGCTTCCAGGGTACTTATCACCATGAGGTTGCGTGACCCATAATGGGAGGGAGGTTAATTCTTGTTTGCTGATGTAAAGCAGGAGTGTGATCTCTGTGTATATAAATACGACTTTCCTTGTTACTTTCACAGTCAGGAAAATAGAATGAGAGGGCTGGGGTGCAGCCGGGAGCCATTCCTATCTCACCACCCTCCTCCATCTCTCCTCTCCTCTGACCTCATCTTTGTCTTTATCTTCTCTGGAGCCCCTTCTCTCTTCTCTCCATCCATCACCGGCCTTTCTTTCTCTTTTCTCCTTCTCTCTTCCTCCCCATCTTGGCCCTCTGCCCACCCCACCCTGTACTGTCTCTGCCTCCCCACCGCCCCGTCCTTCTCCCCACCTGCCCTGACCACATGCCCCCTCTCGACTCTGCAGGGAGGCACTGACTTGGAGAAGCACCGGGACCTGCTGATGGTGGAGAATGAGCGACTGAGGCAGGAGATGCGGCGCTGCGAGGCGGAGCTGCAGGAGCTGAGGGCCAAGCCGGCAGCCCCCTGTACGGGCTGCGAGCACAGCCAGGTGGGCCCAGGACCAGTGTGGTCCCATGGTCGGGGGAGCCAGGGGCTCGATTCCCGGCAGTCACCCCAGCTCCTCACGCTGACTCTTGCCTGCTGGTCTCACACCTGACCCGTCCCCACCTCCCGTGCCTCTGTGGCTGTCCATCTGCAGGAGAGCGCCCAGCTCCGTGACAGGCTGTCCCAGCTGCAGCTGGAGGTGGCGGAGAACAAAGGCCTGCTGTCAGAGCTGAACCTGGAGGTGCAGCAGAAGACCGACCGGCTGGCCGAGGTGGAGCTGCGGCTCAAGGACTGCCTGGCCGAGAAGGCGCAGGAGGAGGAGAGGCTCAGCCGGCGCCTGCGAGACAGCCACGAGACCATCGCCAGTCTGCGCGCCCAGTCACCGCCCATCAAGGTGAGCCGGGGCCAGGTGGCTGCCTGCTGTATGCACCTGGACTGTGCCTCGGCCCTAGTCCCTGGAGCCCAGGACAGGCCGGATGTAGAAAAGGCTTGTCTTGGTGAATAAGTAGGTGCAAGGAGTTGAAGGAATCCTTCCAGGTATGCACTCAGCCTGGTCCCTTTCCCCTCCTGCTGTCCAGGGTCAGGCCATGTAGGCATCCAGCAACCGAGGTTTGGGGTGCCTGCTGTGAGCCAGGCATGGTTGCGATGCTTCACTACATTCCGCCCTCATCTTTGCCCTCCTTGTCTGTTCTGTGTCCAGTCTTGGGCCATAGCCAGGCTCCTCTGGGGCTCATTTTCACGAGCCCAGGAGGCCCCTGCAGCATTCTGGAAAGCCAAGACCTCAGGGCGCCTCTCGTTTTTTTCTGCGGGCTGTGAGTGGGATGCTCCTGAGGGGTCCCCTCAGGGTCCCAGGGTGAGGGCAAGGCACCCACACGCCTCTGTGTTGCCCACCCCTCCGCCCCGCCCTTGCAGTATGTCATCAAGACCGTGGAGGTGGAGTCGTCCAAGACCAAGCAGGCCCTCAGCGAGTCGCAGGCCCGGAACCAGCACCTGCAGGAGCAGGTGGCCATGCAGAGGCAGGTGCTGAAAGAGATGGAGCAGCAGCTGCAGAGTTCGCACCAGCTGACGGCACAGCTCCGGGCGCAGGTGCGCGGGTCAGCACGTGGCTGTCGCGGCGGCGTGTGCATGCCGGGGTCGCCCTGTGGCACAGGGCAGAGGCGGAGCACTTGGGGTCCCACAGACCTGTGTTCCGGTCCCCCTCTCCCTGCTGGCCGTTGTGACCAAGGGCAAGTTTCTGCTCATCTGTAACATGGTCTGATCGCAGAACCCAGCTCCCAATGGGGCTTGACCTCATCGCAAGATTGATTCAGGGCCTGTCACACACGCTCTTGGAAGGGTACCCTGGTCTGTATCATAACTGACAAGAGATCCTCTCCCCTGCTTCCCAGGGCCTATGGGACCCTGGATGGTGCTGGGCTGATGCTGGGAAGTAGCTGCACGGAGCTGGCAGCCCTCTCGGGGAGAGAGATGGCCATCCTATCCCTCCCTTGTGCATGTGTGTGTGTGAGGAGTGGGGCATCTCGCCTTACCATGGGGCGTTGCACTGAGCTCCTGACCCTGGCTTCAGATCGCCATGTACGAGTCGGAGCTGGAGAGGGCCCACGGGCAGATGCTGGAAGAGATGCAGTCCCTGGAGGAGGACAAGAACCGGGCCATCGAGGAGGCCTTCGCCAGAGCCCAGGTGGAAATGAAGGCGGTACACGAGAACCTGGCAGGTGAGCCGGCCGGCTGAGCCCTAGCCTGCTCCCCACACCATGGCCCTTCACCCCGTCTGCCTCTCACCCCTTTGTGTCCCCACAGGCGTCCGGACCAACCTGCTGACGCTGCAGCCAGCACTGCGGACCCTGACCAACGATTACAATGGGCTCAAGCGTCAGGTGCGCGGCTTCCCGCTGTTGCTGCAGGAGGCCCTCAAGAGCGTCAAGGCCGAGGTGAGTGCAGGCCCTGGGTGGAGGGGCTGGGAGAGGCTCTGGAGCCCCTGGGTGGACACAGCATCCCCCACCACGCCCTTCCCAAACTCAGACAAACCCCCAGACGTCAGCTCTCTTCCCTACCACACACATGGCTGTCCTCAGACCGTTGGAAAAACAGTCTGATCAGGGGTAGGTATTTGGATATTTGTCTTGTTATGAGTCTGTAAAGCAAACACGTCACATATATCTTTATATCCCATATGGGCTACGCATATCTTTATATCTCAAACATGCTGCACATATCTTTACATCTGTTGGGTTTAATTTAATTTTTTCAAGCTGTACTTGGGCAGTATGAGAATAACCAACGTCTGTAAAGTGCCTCCTACATGCCAAGCCTTTTATAGCCGTCGGCTCCTTGAGTCTGTGTGACAGCTCTGCAGGATAGACATATATTTGGGAAATCGAAAATAGTTCTTCTCCTTTAATAAAAAAAATCATGTCAATAATACGTGGACATGTTGAAAGTACACACTTCACAGATGGGCATCAGATGAAAAAGAAAGGCCTCTCTCTGCCACCCAGCCCGCTCCCCAAAAGAAACCTCTCCCAGCATGTCCCCTAAAGGGTGTCCTGAGCATGTTGAAAACTATTGACATGTATGTGCATGTACACGTACTTCCCTTTCTCCCAACAAAGGAGAACAGGTGTGAGTGTGGCCTGCATCTTGTTTCTTTTCCCTATGAATGGAATTTGAAATCTTTATCACCAGCTCCTATGAATTCCCATTTTACAGATGAGGAAATTGAGGCTCGAAGACATCAAGCCAGTTGCTTCTGGTCTCCCAGCTCCTCAGAATAGAGCTGAGATTTGGGTCCAGCTGAATCCTGTAGTCATGGGCTGAGTCCCAGCTCTTTGCTCATCAGCAGGGCAACGTTGAGATTGGCTTGGCCTCTCTGGGGCTCAGTTTCTTGCTCTGTAAAATGGGTCTGGTCACAGTACCTACCCAGAGGGTTATTGGGAAAATCTGACGTGTGACAGCTCAGCTCAGGTGCCCAGTCCAGGGCAGGCAGCGATGAGCAGGCTGTCAGTGGGGGGAGCAGTAGCCAGGCATGTGAGGTGGGTGGAACTGGCTCACTGACAGCGCTGCCCTTCTCCCACCAGATCGGCCAGGCCATCGAAGAGGTCAACAGCAACAACCAGGAGCTGCTGCGCAAGTACCGGCGGGAGCTGCAGCTGCGTAAAAAGTGCCACAACGAGCTCGTGAGGCTGAAAGGTGACTGCTGGGTGGGTTGGGGGGTGCCCAGCAGACGAGGCCCTGACCTGCCTCGGGGGTGCTCCTGCCCTTCCCTTTGGCCCCAGTTCCAGTCCTTGGAGCTGTACCCTGTCATTTTGAGGCACTGTTGTGATCCCCTCTTTGTAAATAAGGGTATGGAGGCACAGAAATGTCACAGGAAATTTGCTCAAAACTGCATGGTGTGTAAATGAACGGTCCACCTTGGATCTGTCCAACTCTGAAGCCTTTCCTAGTGCCCATGGCAGCCTACCAGGTGTTGGAGGAGCGGGGCATTGAAGTACTGGGTGGTGGGTGGCTAGAATATCACTTATTCTGATGTAGGGCTTGGTCAAGCTTGAGAGACCACTTGTTCACTGCCCAGTAGTCCAGAGAGCACCTGCTCTGAGGTGCTGAGGATGTCTGTGGACCCCACAGAACCCGTCCTTGCCCTCATGGTGCTTCCTTCAGTGGCAGTGGGGGGGAGCAGACAGTGATCATTAATCACCCTGAGAACTCCATCAGTGCCCCTTTACCTGGGCTGGGGAGGGGTTCTCAGAGCTCCTAAATATCTGACAGTTGAAGGTGTCAGGGGGCTTCTTGAAGGAGGTGGAACCAGGGCTGAGACCTGGACTATGAGCTGGAGTGGACAGGTGAAGGGAGGTGGGGCCGTGCTACATGTGATGGCGAGTTTTCTCTTCATTCTCTTCATTCAAGCCTCTGGGATCCCCTCTAAGGGCTTGAAGCAAGGGGGGTGGCATGATCGAATCTATGCCCCAGTCAACCCCGGGGCTGCCCTGTTGCCCATGCCTATCTTCTGCCTGGTCCCGTCAGCCCATCTGATTCCCAGACTCTGTCCTGTTCATAGTGCCCTTCTAGAATGAGAGAACAAGCTCCTTGGCTTAGTGGGACCCAAGCCCCTCATTGTGTGTGGGAGGAAACTGAAGTCCAGATGTGTCACGAGTTGTCCATTTTGGTATCCCACCCAAACTGGGTGCAAGGTGCAAAGTCTGAACTCTGAAATCTGACCTTTCCTCTATGTCCCCAAGGTGAGGCTGCCACCCTCAGTTGGTTTGCTTAGCAAAAAAGGTATTGATACAGGAATTCATAGTATAGTGTGAATGACTAAGAACAGCTTTGTGGGCCACCTTGCCTTTGGGGGCCTTACTAAGAAGGTAGGGACCCCTTGAGCTACTGGCCTGCTCCGGACACCAGTGTGGAGTAGTCTGGTCTTGACCTGGCCTGTACCCGTCTCTCCTGCCCCATCCAATCTAGGGAACATCCGGGTGATTGCCCGTGTCCGGCCAGTCACCAAAGAGGACGGGGAAGGACCGGAGGCGACCAATGCTGTGACCTTTGATCCAGACGACGACTCCATCATCCACTTGCAGCACAAAGGAAAACCTGTCTCCTTCGAGCTGGACAAGGTCTTCTCCTCACAGGCCTCACAGCAGGACGTGAGTGTGGCCCCTGCCGGGAGAGGGACAGAGAGATACACTCACCTCACATGAAGGGGGAGAGATGGGTGAGGGCTGGACAGAAATAAACCTAAGGGAGGGGAGACAGGATGGAGAAGCCCAGCGCTACATGGTCCCTCTCTTTACCTCTGGAGGAGAGGAGGGTGGGAAGGCAAAAAAGGACTTCGGAAGGGCAGATCCATGCATAAGCTAGGGCAAACCCCCCGTGGCTCCGCCCATCTCAGCCACACCCACTCTTAGGCCCACCCTACTCAGTGATTCCCTCCTATCCTTATAGCCACACCCATCCTAATAGCCCCTCCCACCCACACCGTCCCCTCCCATAATCAACCACACCCTCCCACTCACATGGCCCCGCCCACCCGCTGGACCCCGGCTTGTGTGGAGGCAGGCCTCTCCAGCCAGGAGCACGATCTTTATGGGCTCCACGGGCCTTTCTAGGGACTCCCATGCTGCTCGCGCAGACCTCAGGGAGGAGCCTGCAGCCTGTGTGAGCCAGGTGTTTTCAGCATCTGCTCTTCCCTCATTTCTGCCAGGGCTAACCTGGGAGGCCTGTTTTGCTTGTGCCCAGGCTAGGCTTTTGTCTTTGCCCCTGTCCTTTGTCAATGGCTGGCAGGCAAGCCAGTGGAGGTGCCAGGCACATGCTGTCTCTGCCTTGAGAGAGGGAAAAGGCTGGGCAGCTCCTGGCCCAGGCTGCCCCTTCCTCAGGTGCCAGTGGGCAGTAATTACTACCCTGACTTCCTTTCAGTCTTTTGGCAATGAGGTTGCCCACTGACGCCTCGTGTAAATGACTCATTAGTCACAAATTCCTCCGCAGTGAGCTGGTTGCCCAGGATAACATGTGCCATATTGTTGCTGAAGGAGGGGAGAGGTCAGGAGGAGGTGGCTGGGGTGGGGGGCGGCCAGCAGCCTTGGCAGCTCCACATCCTCCAGCCTGCGTCTTCTCTGCAGGTGTTCCAGGAGGTGCAGGCCCTCATCACCTCCTGCATTGATGGCTTCAATGTCTGCATCTTCGCCTATGGCCAGACGGGTGCTGGCAAGACATACACAATGGAGGTGGGTACACACTGGATGGAGCAGGGGTTCAGAGTGAAGACTGCCCCCTTGCTGCCATTGATGGGGGTGCCTCTCATTGGTCTCAAGGTTCTATGTGAAGCATGTTTTGCCTCACTCGGTCTTCACAGTCTTAGAGCCGAGCCCATAATTATTTGCATTAACCCTAAGGCACCAGGCCTGAAGAGGGGGTGCCCTGCCCAAGCACACCTGTGTGGTCCCAGTAGGTACGGGGAGGGGAAGGTGTGCTGACAACAGCCTCTGGCCCCAGAGGGGTCTCAGCCTGGGCTAAGAGTCCAGGGCAGATTGCTGTGACGTATCTCAGGATTGCCCTCATTTCAACCACACACATGTATTGGGCTTCTGTTGTATGGCTGCTCATGCTGGGCCCTGGGGGTTTGGGATGAATGAGGGGGTATCTAGGCCCTCAAGGAGATCCTTGGGTAGCGGGAGAGACTGGCCAGTGGAGGCTGTCATGGGGTACCCAGCTCTTACTTGCAGCTCTCAGGCCTCATCTCCCTGCCTGTGCCACCCTCCCCCCACCCCACGTCCCACACCTCCATGGGCAGTGGCCTGGAATAGGGTTGTTGAGAGGAGGAAGAATCTTGACTGTAGACAAAAATGGAAAGCTGGTCCCAGGGCATATCTTTGGTTTGTTAGCATTTCCCTGGCTCTTGAGGGTTGCTGCAGGATTTTCCAGGTAGGTGAGGAGGGCAGGTGACTTGGTGTCCCAACAATGGTCGTGAGAGGGCCCTGCTGGCCCAGGCTGTTAGATACCCTTTGGAAAGGCTCCCGTGGTGGGCCTTTCTTCCCCAACCTGGACCTTCTTTTCCCTCAAGAAGGGATTGATTAGACTGTTTAGTGAGAGGCAGGCCAAAGGAAAATGGGAAGGGGAAGGGGGTGGTTGGGGGGAGTGTGTGCAACACCACCCAGGCTCCCAGCTCTGTCTGGGGTGCCCAGAGTTGAGGTGACACCAGGGGCACCCATCCTCCAACTCAACCAGTTGAGGCTCCATGTGCGTCTGGCACCCTGCCTGGGGCTCAGCCATGACCAGAGTGCCTGCCCCGCGGAGCTGGCCCACCCGTGGGGAGATGGCAGTGCTTGCGGCAAGTCATCATGTGTCCTTTGGTCAGGTGCTAGGGAGGAAAATTCAGCCAGGAACGAGGAATCAACAGTGAGGGAGGGATCCGGCGTTTGGAGGGAAAGGAAGCTTCCCTGAGGAGGTGACATTGGTGCAGACATCGGAGCCAGTCACAGAGAGGAGTGTGGGGCAGAGGGGACAGTGGGGCAGAGGCCATGGGGCTGGAGGGTGTGGGAGGATACTGAGGCCCCAGTGGCAGAAGTGGAAGTGGAGGTGGAAGGTGCCATCCAAAGGGAGGCCCAGGTGAGGACTCCAGATTTGTTTCTAGAAAGGCTAGCCAGCCCATCCGGCCCCAGTTCACTCGCCAGCTCTCCCGTAGAACCTGGCTCACCACGGCCCACCTAACATTGAGCCCCCAGAGTGGGACCTCTGGGCAGCAGCAGGGAAGTCACACATTCCCAGTGGCTCCTCCCAGGGGGCCCAGCACGGTCAGGTATCCATCAGCAGCCCCTGTGTGCATGCCCCGGGCCAAGTTCCACCTGGTGCTCTGCTTTAAGTGTCAGGCCCAATCCTGGCAGGGCTGTTTTAAAGGTGAGAAAACTGAGGCCCAAGGAGGTGGAGCGGCTTGTAGCTGGTGGAGGGTGTTTCGGGGGCAGGCCGGCATGTGGGAGCTTAAGTTGGGGAGGCTGGCCTGGGAGGGGTAGCCAGAGCAGGTGGGGAGCATCTGCACAGGTCAGCCTTTGTGGGGAGAGGGGAGAGGCCTGGCTCACTGGGGCCTTGATTTTACCCCCAGGGGACCCCTGAGAACCCAGGCATCAACCAGCGGGCCCTGCGGCTGCTCTTCTCTGAGGTGCAGGAGAAAGCGTCCGACTGGGAGTACACCATCACCGTCAGTGCCGCGGAGATCTACAATGAGGTCCTCAGGTGAGTGGCCCTCAGGTGAAGGGCCCTCAGATGGGGGCCTCAGGTGGGAGTTGAATGTCGTGACTAGGCCCAGAGGATTCACTGTGTCCAGGCGCCTCCCCTGCCCTAGCAGGCGGGAGGGAGGAGGGCCCACTGAGCCCAGCTGGGACACCCAGACCAAGGCCCTCCTTTCCCTCTCAGAGTGCGCTCACCCTGCCTGCAGGCTGCACTGGGTGGTGAAAAGTGAGAGTGGGGTCTTGGGGAACCCTGCCTCCAGGGGTTCAGTGCAGCATGGCTGGAGTCAACACCACCCCAGGACTTTTGGGGAACATTCCTGCCTCTGCCATTTAGCAAACTGAGTGCCCAAGAGGAGCTGAGGCTGCGAAGGGAGAGGGTCTGAGCACCTTCGTGTCCAGGAAGGCATCCTGAAGTGTGATGGGGGAACGTTCCAGGCTGGGGGCGGGTGCAACTGTAAGCAGAATGCAGACTGGGAGGAGGGCGTGACTGTCCTTCCTGCCCTCAGGGACCTGCTGGGACAGGAGCCCCAGGAGAAACTGGAAATCCGGCTGTGCCCAGACGGCAGCGGGCAGCTATACGTGCCCGGGCTGACCGAATTCCAGGTGCAGAGCGTGGAGGACATCAACAAGGTGAGGAGCTGGGCTGGCCAACGCGGGGCGGCTCCGCCCACAGCGGGGGCGGGCCAACGCGGGGCGGCTCCGCCCACAGCGGGGCGGCTCCGCCCACAGCGGGGCGGCTCCGCCGGGAGGGATGTGGTTCGGGGTCCGGCTTTGCCTGGTTTGCAGGCCTCTGGGAACCTGCTTCCTCCCCCGGAGGAGGTAGCGGGTGACGCCCCCTCATAGGGGTGCTCCAGGACTGGGGATTCCGAAGACCCCACTCCAAAGCCGGTGCGTCGGCCTTCCCGCCTCCAGGTGTTCGAGTTCGGCCACACCAACCGCACCACGGAGTTCACCAACCTGAACGAGCACAGCTCGCGCTCGCACGCCCTGCTCATCGTGACGGTGCGCGGCGTGGACTGCAGCACCGGCCTCCGCACCACGGGTGAGCCAGGGCCCCCAGCGCCCGGCCCGAGCACCCCACCCCCGCCACTCCTGGGGCGGCCCTGACCTGCCCGCGCCCTCCCCGCAGGGAAGCTGAACCTGGTGGACCTGGCCGGCTCGGAGCGCGTGGGCAAGTCGGGGGCGGAGGGCAGCCGCCTGCGGGAGGCGCAGCACATCAACAAGTCGCTGTCGGCCCTGGGCGACGTCATCGCGGCCCTGCGCTCGCGTCAGGGCCACGTGCCCTTCCGCAACTCCAAGCTCACCTACCTGCTGCAGGACTCGCTCAGCGGGGACAGCAAGACCCTCATGGTGGTGCAGGTGAGGGTCTCAGGTTGGCCTGACAGGGTGGCCATCAGCGTGTACGGACTTGGCCAGTTCCAAGAACAGGGGTTCCCACCCACCTCCTTCCCCTGCAGCCCGGATACCCCACAGGCTGTGCAGAGAACAGCGTCTTGTCTTCAGCAGCTTTGGAGTCAGTGACATGTGCCCCCCACCCCGATCCCATAGCCTTCCCAACAGACCTGGCTTTGCTTGCAGCTTTCTCCACTTCAGGCACCTTGGTGAAGTTGCCCACCACGTCCTCCCCGCAATCCCAGCTCCCTTCCCTCTTCTCCAGGGAGCCTTCTAGAACCCCCTGGTTGTGAGCTCCCTCTGATGCCCCTTCCAGTTCTGTGAGGACAGCCGGCCAGCCAGGTGGAGAGAGAGCTCTTGTGTGCCCCCTAGGTGTCCCCTGTGGAGAAGAACACCAGTGAGACGCTCTACTCCCTCAAGTTTGCTGAGAGGGTGCGCTCTGTGGAGCTGGGCCCTGGGTCCCGCAGGACAGAGCTCGGGTCGTGGTCCAGCCAGGAGCACCTAGAGGTACTGGGACCCCCACAGGCCTGCGTCCGGCCAGCGCTGGATCAAAGATTCCAGTCATGGGCAGGAGGGAGGGTGTGGCGGGGAGGACGGCCTGGAGTGGGGAAGAGAGGAAGACACCAGAGGGGTTGGAGCCAGAACTTGAACCCAAACCCATTAAGTCTCTTCAGTCCAGGTGTTTTTGTGGACCTCAGAGGTACCTAGGGGTCATCAGCTGGTTGGAGGTTGGGCAGGGAGGTGCAGGCTGGCACACAGATGCTCAGTGGTAACTAGTTTGCTTCTTTATTAATTCCCACCTTCTTTCCATGGTTATTGTACATCATGATGTCCATCTTGCAGATGAAACAGTTTCAGGTGGCTGGGGAGGGGAAACATGTGGGCGGGGGTAGACCCAGGGCAGCAGACCCCGCCCACCTGCCCTTCTCTGCCCACAGTGGGAGCCAGCTTGCCAGACGCCACAGCCCTCAGCGCGAGCCCATTCGGCCCCTGGCTCTGGGACCACTAGCCGCCCAGGCTCCATCAGGAGGAAGCTGCAGCCCTCAGGTGAGTCTTCAGGGAGGGAGCCAGGGTGGGGAGCCTCCCCCATTGGCTGATCACAGCTATGGGCTGCCCTTATCAGAGTGGGCTTTAAATTTATGGAACTTCTCCAGACCGGTTTCAGTTTCACAACCTTCCTTGGCCCTGGGAAGTAGTCAGGGCAGACAGTGCTGGGTCCATTTTACTGATGGGAAACTGAAGGCCCCTTGGAGATGGAGTGTCAGGAGGTGGCCAGCCCTCCTGACTCCTAGCTGGGCCACTGATGTGAGGCCCAGGACGCAATTCTCTGAGGCTTTCAAGAAAGACATGCCTTCCCAAGTAGGCCATGGATGGGTGATTAGAATCCTGGGCTCCAGCCCCCAGCTTGGCCCACTCACAGAAGGGCCTGGCAAGTGTTTGAGTCTAAAGGGGCTGTGGGCAGCAGGGTCCTGGGGGGTGGGTCCCAGCCCAAGGCCAAGACTACCAGTGAGACACCTGTTGCTTTGATTTCAGCCTGACGGCTGGGGCTGCAGAGTCTCCAGGTGAGTGTGGGGGCCAGCAGCCCAGGGCTGCCCGCCCACCCGCCTGCCTGGCCGCCTCGGGTTGCAGGGCTGTGCCGGGAAGTTGGCTGGGTCTGGGGCTCGCTGCCTGCTATCTGTGTGCTTCTGCCCGGGTGCCTCCTGCTCTGGGACAGAGGCTGACTGTCCTGGTGCTGACAAAACCTACCCCCTCCCATAGGGAAGTCCAGGCCGTTGCCCATGTGATGGACATGCCCACCCTGCCGGACCAGGGACCAGTGAGTGGGTCTCCATGCATGGCTGACCTGCCCCTGCTGCAGCATCTGGAGCCCACGAAGCAGAGGCCAGAGTGGAGGCGCCTCTTTGACCCCATCTCCCCTGAGAAACATGTTCAGAAGGAAACCCTGTCTCTTGGCTGTGGCTCTGGGTGCAAGTGGCACAGGCTGGAAGGGTGGGCCCAGGCCATCAGTGTGGGCCCTTGTGGGGAGGGCAAGTGTGTTGTGTGGGAGGGTGGGCCCTCGCCCGGGCTGGCCCAACCCTCCCCAGCCCGCAGGGCCCCTCCAGAAGGCACAGGAACTGTGGGAGCTGGGCGGTTGGTGGGCAGCCCTGTCCTGCTCTTCTCTGGGAGTAGAGCATCTCGCCAGGTGTGTATATAGTGTTCCTAGGTGTACACAGGAGGCCTGCTCCTGCCGCGGGTCGGGCTTTATTTATGGCTGGCAGGAGGCCAGTGAGTGGGGATCTTGCTGCTCCCCTCTTCTGCCTGGCACCAGGCTGTCTCCCTGCTCACTAGCCTCTTGACATTTTCCTCCCTCTGAAATCCTATTTAAGAACTTTTGGAAGCTTAGCCATTTTTACTTATTAAAATAACCTTTTTACACAAGCACTGTCTGGAAAAGTTGGTCTTGTGAGCCCCTGATCAGACGCAGGGAGCAGGGTGTTGGCATGTTGTGGGTGGTTCCCCAGTGCTGGCTTGTCACCCACTAAGTCAGGATCAAGTGACCTCCTACCCTCATCCTTACCATGACTGACCCATGCAAGTACTGGCACCTTCACCTAATAAATGGGAAACTCAAGCTCTCCAAAGCCTTGCCAAAAACCTAGCCACAGTGGTCCCTACTCCACTTCTGCCCTCTGCCCTGGCCTTGCCCCCTTACATGAATGGCCATAGGTGAGTGCCACCCCCCCTCCTCCCTCTGCCCAAAGCGCCCCAACCATGGGTGCCATGCCCACCAGGCTCCCCACCATGGAAGTGGTGCTGGCCTGCACTTGGTCCCAGCCTTGGGGAAACGTGTGCAGGGCTCTGTGGGGTCCTCCCACCAAATGGGCTGAAGCTGCCTCAGGAGGAGAAGCGGGGTGACCTCTGGGTCAGGGGAGCTGTTCTGGCCAGCCAGCACTGGGGGCTCCTGCAGGGAGGAGCAGCTGTTCAGAGCATGGGGAGGCTGCCTTTCCGATCCCATCCCTGGAGGCCTCCGGGGGTGGGGGGAGGGGGGTGAGCTCTGGATCAGCCACTGCAGTAAGTGGCCCCACTGCAAGGCTGGGGTCCCAGCCCCCTGCAGGGTACAGCTGCCAACTGGCCTCAGAGGCATCCACTGGACAGGTGGGAGTGTGGCTGAGACAGAGGGGCTGGGCTGGAGAGCCTGAGCCCACCCCTCACCTGTTTCTTCTAGCCATGAAAGGGGGAGTTGCTGGGCCCGCTTTCCCCCAGAATAAGTCTGAACTTACCCTTTCCGGCCGGCCCATCACTCTGCTGCTCCCTGCTGGCCACCCAGCGTGGAGCACCACCTCTAGGTCTTGGAGAAGAAGTGGTCTCCTCTCTGAAGAGGCCATCAGGGACCCAGGAGAGCCTTGTGACCCAGAGGATGCAACTCCCAGCAAGGAAAGCAAGGAATAGTTACAAATTTAATAAAATTCACCTTATAAATTACAGCAGCAGCCCCAGGGTTCAGTTCACTGCCCCAGGAAGCAGGAGTTGGGCAAAGCTGGGCAGCTGTTGCTGCAGAGAAGTTGTCAGAGGTCAGGGCTGAGGAGTGGCCAGTGGGCCAGCGCTGCCGCCTCCAGGATGGCCACAGGGCAGCAGTGGGGGCCGGGCAGAGGCTCATGGGCTGGTGGGCGCACAGGGAACAGGCGTGGGGGCCGAGGCCAGGCCTGAAGGTGCCCCCACTCTCTGGGCTCCTCAGTCCAAGCTGGCCATAAGCAGGTGCAGCTCGCGGAAGGCACTGCCGTGGCGGCCGCTCAAGCCCGACTTGCTCTTGACGAGGCTGCTGATGCTCTTGAGCTGCTTGTAGCAGAGCCGGCACTTGTGCAGCCTGTGGGCAGAGGGTCAGCGCTGGAGGTGGCCAGCCGGCACAGTCCCGTGACTCCTGCCCAAACGCAGGGCCTTTCCTGTACTAACCACACCGGCCCTCCTCCCAGGGGAAGGCTGAGACCCAAAGAGCAGGGCCCAGGCCAGAGCCAGGCCATGGAGGAACCCAGGCTCTGGTAACCCCACCCCGTGCCCTGCGCCACTGTCCCAGGCACAGTGACCACCTCTATTGGCTGTTTGACCAGGGCCATCAACAAGCAGGCCTGTGTGCTCTTGCCTGACATGGCATGCGCGCACACACACACACACAAACACAGACAAACACACCACACACCCCCCACCACAGCCCGGGTTCCTCACCTCTCCTCCCGGCTGATGTCCACACCCACTGAAGGCGGGGCCGCCAGGATGTCTGTGATGAGGGGCAGAAACCGCTGCAGGATCAGCTTCAGAGAGGTGCAGCCTGTCTGGACATAGCTGCAAGGGCAGAGGGATGGATAGAATCACTAAACAGAGTGCACGGCTCACGGAGACAAAGCAGGGCAGAGACGGGGCCAGAGGCAGCATGGACTTGTGGTCACTCTGGCCTTCCGACTTCGAAGAGGATAGCAGTGTGGTGCAGCCACCCCACAAGTGCACCAGCCCTGGGGGTCTTTGCCGTGGTCCACCCCCACCCCGCCCTGCTGTGAGGCAGGTGTGGCTTCCCCATGAGTACCTCTCATACTTGCTCTGCAGAAGCTTCTCGATCTGCGGCAGAACCGTGGTGCACAGATCCAGCTTCCACAGGGAGCTGGGGAGAGGGCCAGGGATACGTGCCCTCAGCACCTGGCCCTGCCCACGCCCCCCCACCTCCCATCCCCTGTCACAGCCACTCACGCCTTCTGGTTGACAATGTTAAGGAGGTCTACGACCACAGACAGGTCATTGATGGCCACGGCCGAGTCCACCGACGTCTGTGCAAACAGAGCACCCGTCAGTGGGGACCAGGGACACAGTGGCCCTGCCTGGGTCTGTGATCACAGGCTTTATTGGGGGGGTACATAAAACTGCAAGGTGTGGTGACTGGAGCTGCCTACCACCCCTTCAACTCCACCCCAGGAAGCTCTATTCTCAGCTCAGCTCTAAACCCAGGCAGGGGTGACACTTGCCTTGATATCACCTGTGGTCCACACACCCCGCACAGTGTCCAGGTTCTTGTGGCGGCTGGTGAGCACGACGCACATGGTGTCATGGCCTTTGCGGATCTGGGACATGGCATCCTCGTCGACCAGCTCTGCCTGCTGGGGGATCTTCACGGCCTGCGTGGAATGGGTGCCCAGATGCTGGCAGCCAAGTTCTGCCCTCACCCCATGGGCCTCCACCCGCTCTCAGCCTGGGCCCCCCACTCACAGGCAGGAAGTTGGAGGCCTTCAGTCCGATGGGCTCATTGCGGGTGGCAGGAAAGATGGCAGGCTCGGCCTTGGGTGCAGGGGTGGAAGTGATGACCGGGGGCCGGGACAGGACCTCAAGCTGGAAGGGTCTGGAGTTAGCAGGCAGCCAGCCCAAAGCTTCCCCCTCTGCCCCTCTCTCTGGCAAGGGTCACCCCAGCCCTGATTCAGGACACCAGGCCCTCTCCAAGCCTCGTACCGTGCCTGCTCCACCTGGACATACGTTTGGCACCGAGAACTGTGCGTCTGTGGCTGGGCTGGGCTTTGCTGCCTCCTTGGCTGTGGCCATGTCTGGTGATAGAAGGGAAAGATCCCTGGGTCAGGTCAGGTCGGGAGATGGGACAGGCGGGAAGTCAGGGCTCGGGCTGGGACTCTGGGTGGCGCCTTGCCTCTTACAGGGGAGGCCTGGTGAAGGGGGCGGGGCCTGTCCCCTCCCTTTCCACCTACTCAACCACAGGTCTGGCAGAAAGCAGGAACTGAGCACCACATGTGGATGGGACCCAGGGAGTGGTGGCCCCAACACCTCACTAGGAATGGAGTGTGTTTTTCAGAGGGGGTTGGTGCTGAGCGGATGGTGAATAGGACTGTAGGAGACAGAGGTGCTTCAGGAACCCAGCTTTAGGGGCACAGGAAGATGGCCCCTTGAGGAGAAAGCTGGTGGTGGGGAGAGGTGGGGAGGCGGAGGTTGGGCTGGAAGATGAGGGTGCCCCATCCCACCTTTTCCAATCATAAAGCAGATCAGATTTTTCTCCCTTCTTAAATTCTTCAGCAGCAAAATCAAACAGCAAAAACCAGCAGCAAAAATCCTCCAGCAGCAAAACCCAACCCCCAGGGCCTGGGGACCTGGCCCCCCAAACCCCTGCCCTCCTCTCAGCTTCCTCTCACCTGAGGCTATTCCCTCCCCGTATCCTCACCTGGCCCCCAGGCCTGCCTGATGCACCGCCTCTGCAGAGCCTCACAGCCCCCATGTACACAGGCCCCAGTGCCTCTCACCACCCGGGCTCCTCCTCCCACGTGGCTGCCTACCATCCGCCTTCCTCACTGGGTGTGGGCACCTGCCTGCTTTGTCATGCTCAGTTAGCAGGGCCGAGTCCCACGCCTGGCACACAGTAGGTGCTTTTTGGGCGAATGGTGGGAAAAGACCCAGGGGGAGAGAGGCTGGGAACTGTCCTGTGGGGGGGGGCAGCCTGGAAGAGGAAGACTGGGGAGCCTGGGAGGCCAGGCTCTGCCCCCTGACTCACCATCTTCTGGGGGTGCAGGGAAGGGTTCACTTCTTCGGGGTGGCGTCCGACCTGCAGAGGTGAAGGGGGCTGGGGACTCACATGGGCCAGCCCAGGGCTGCTGTCAGAGCCCTCAGGGCCTAGTCAGCCAGGACCCCAGGGCCCCACAGGATGCAGGAGATGGGTAAGTGGTTCCAGGGTGCACATATGTTGTAGACCGTGATCCCTAGGGTCTGAACCCTCAGGCTTGCCACTACTCATGCCCTTGCCCCTGGCAGGCCAAGCACTGAGGGGCTGCTGGGCTTCTGCTGGGGCCTAGAGGACCTGGGGACAGAGTCGGGCCCAGATGTAGGTGAGGAATTAGGCTAAGGGGGCGCAGCAACATGGACACCATCCTGGAAAGGACCATCTGCCTTTGCGTCCCAGAGTGGGATGGTGGGGCTAGGCAGGGATGGGAAGGGAGGGGAGGGGAGGGCCTCACTGATGCTGTTCTTGGGCTGGAAGATCTCATTGTAGTCCTCCGCGTTCTGGATCTCGGCCCGAGACTCCCGCTCGTCCCGGTCGTCCTCACTGCTGGGGCTGCGGCGCTCGCTCTCCGAGTTCTGCTTCACCCTGGGGGGCCGGCCGAGCAAAGGGAGGTGGGGGGGCGCGGGGGGTGAGGCCGGGGGGCCCACCTCCTGCACCCCCCAGTGCCCTCTGAGGCCCCGAGCACCCCACCTCTGAGGCTTGCTGCAGGCGGTGCTGGGCCGCTCGTAGATGCGGCGAAGGGGGGCGCTGGGGTGGGGCGGCTGCTGCGCCGGAGGCCGGCTGTCCTGCACTGGGTCCCGGGCTACCGTCCCTGTCCTGGTGACCCGCGTCAGGTCCACCACGTAAGAGGAGACGTTGCTCTGAGAGAAGGCCACGCCTATCTGCAGGAAATGGAGGAGCTGGGGCGGGACCCTTCGTGGGGCCCTGAGGGTAGGGTCCCCACAGGGCCAGGAGGGAGTTGGGGGCCTGCGGGGGAGGAGGCCGGCAGCCTGGCGCAAAGGTGCAAGGTGGGCGGTGGCTCTCTCACCAGCTGGTCGTTGCAGATGGCCAGGTCGGCCACCTTGCCCCAGTGGACGAGGACCACATCAAAACAGCGCTCTGGCTCCCAGCCGTAGACACGCAGCGAGTCCTGGCAGCCACTGTACAGGCAGCAGCCATCGGGGTTGAAGAGGATGCTCCTGGGCCAGGTGAGAGGAGGCCGTGGGTCAGAAGCCTCCGGAGAGGCTGCGGCAAGCCCAGGACCAGAGCGGAAGTGGAGACTAGAAAGGGCCACCTCGGCCACGCCCCATGGCCCGGAGGAGGCCCCGCCCAACGCCCTGCAGCCGCCTACCTGACAGGCCCCGGCTCCCCTTCGATACAGCTCACCACCTGGAATTTCTCCAGATCCCAGAAACGGATGGTCCTGCAGAGAGTCAGGCCCCATGCCTGGTTTCTACGCAGGCCAGTGGCTGGGAAGACGCGCTTTTTTGCAGACACTTGCCCACCCACCCCCAGGTCAGGGCTACTCTTGAGCACATGGGAGGTGGACACTGGCCTTGGATCCAGACAAGCCAGGAAGGCCCAGGACACTGGGGCCGGGGAACTGGAGTCAGGAGAGAGATGTGACCTGGGTGCCAGGCTGGCTTGGCTGGCAGTCAGTTCAGTCCAGATAGAATGTGACACCCCGGGACCGAGAGGCAGACTGGGGCAGATACACACCCAGAGCACAGAGGTGTGGCAGTCACAGGTCATGGGCCCTGTTCCTCCTCCTCACCTGTCAGAGCTGCCGGAAGCCAGGAGGTACTCGTTGGGGTGGAACTCCACCACGTTGACAGGCCCCGTGTGGCCAGGGAACTCGGACATCATCTTGCCAGCAGTCAGATCCCAGAGCTGAGGCAGGGTGGGCTGGAGGTCAGGACCAGCCTAGCCCTCAGCCTCCGGATGACCCTCTCATCCAGTCCGCGCTCTTTATCCACAAACCGCCTCCCACTCTGGACAGTCTTGGGGCGGGCGAGCCGGATGGGGAGGGAGATAAGGACCCAACCTGGGTGTGATCGGCAGACCCCAGTCCCCAGCCCTGGGCCCACGCCTGGCCGAGAGCTACCTTCACCGTATGGTCATCTGCGGCGGATGCCAACCACTTCCCGTCAGGGCTGAACCGGAGACACCGCACGGCCTGGCTGTGCCCCTGAGGACAAGACAGGGCACGCATGCTGGAGGGGCCCGGCCCTGTGGGCTCCCCTCCCCACCCCTACTCCTCCCTGCCCTCCACAAGCAGTGCTTCCTGGGAGCCGGCAGAGAGGTGACAGACCGCCAGCTGCGGGGGATGCCACAGAGGAACGCCTCCCCATGGGTGTTCAGGGATCCCCAGTCCTGCGGGACACTCCAGATCAAGACCTCGTGGTCTTACAGGTTGAGGGGCAATACGTCCTGTGCCTCTTTTTGGAGAGTTAAATGCCTCCTCTTATGTCAAAGGGTCGAACGACTTCTAAAAATAATTATTAAACTCAGTGCTTCCAAACTCATATGAACAGGAACCCCCTTCACTTAATAACACATGTTATCAGCCTACAAACTGTGGAGGACAGTTTGCTGAACATGGTTCTGTGGGGAGCATGGAAAGCTGGGGGTCCAGGTGGACCACCCACTGCACCCCTGCTCTGCTCCAGATGCACATTTCTCATCTGGACTTTTTGTTTCTCACGGTCTCACCCAGGCTGGATGAGCAGCTCCTCCAGCCCCTCCCAGGGTCTGGGCACCGCCCCAGGCTCAATGCCCTCAAGGTGCTTGTGGAATGATGGAGAGAGGGGCCTCACTTACCCTGTATCGGAAGACACAGCCTTTCCTCCTGATGTCCCAGAGCTGTGAAGCGGGGAGCAGAGAGGGGCCGGGGTCAGAACAGGTCACAACCAAGGTGGGCTGTGCTAGGGAGGCCTAGCCAAGCTCAGTCCTGGAGCTTGGGTCAGAGGGCAGTAGATGGCCATGAGCAGAGAGGGGCTCTGAGCACCTCCAGGTCATTACACCCCAAAATGACAGGGGTCTGGAAACTGCTCTTATAAAGCTGGGCATTCCGAGTACAAATGTCTGGCCAGTGCTCCCACATCTCCCTGCCTGGGGCGGGGGAGGGGGGCCATGGATTCTGCAGCACCTCGGGGAGGGGCCCCTGCAGAGCCAAAGCCCACCCCCTCGGGTGGGACTCACCATCCTGGTTCCACTGCCGGCCCAGTCCCGGGAGAGCCAGGGTGCTGAGTGGTGTCTCACCTTGATGTTTGTGTCCTGGGAACCCGAGGCTACAAACTCGCCATATGGGTGGAAATCCAGGCTGCAGATGTTGGCTTTGTGTCCCATAAGTGTGCGAAGGACTAACAGGGGAGAGAGCAGACAGTGGTGTGAGAGGTGAACAGGACGGCGAGCAGAGAAATGGCTTCAGTGTTCGTTTCTGTGTGTGCTTTCGTACTGACGGCACAGGAAAACACAACAGTAACACAGACGTTCAAGATGAAGAGGAAAGTCAACCAGAGTCCTACCACTCTAACAACTAGCTTTTCTTATTTTCCTCCTGAGAGATGCCAGCCATTTCTGCCATTACATGAGCCCCCAGAAAACTCCCCGCAAGCGCCATGCGGCTTGTGCCAATGTGTTCTGACAAGAGTGAAGCCCCGGAGTCGGCAGAGTCGAGCAGCTGCTGCATTTGGTTTACATCCTGTGGACATGGAGCTTATGACCTGCCAGGCATCCCATCACACCCGGGACAGCACGAGGAGAGGGACGCAGGAGCGGTCCAAGGTGGGGGAGAAGCTGCTAGGTTGAAAGAGAAGTCCAGGGGGGCTTTTTGGAGGAGGTGGTATTCGAGCAGGATGTCAATGGGTGGTGGATGAGGGAGGCTTGTGTTTCTGTATCATTCTGTATCAGAGTATTCTCTGGCACCACTCAAATTTGCCTCTTTTCTCTGGCCTCATATGCCTTGCTTTTTAGAAAATTTATAATTCTGCTGTTTGAATGAAACTGATCATGCCAAGGGTGCTGGACAAAGAAGTGTGGCAGTCCAGGGATCCTCAGGTTTGAGCCAAGGTGAAACAGGCTGCCTTGTGAGGTAGTGAGCTCTCCGTTGGAGCAGGTGTTCAAGCAGACTCCACACATAATGCTTTAAGGACAAAATTCAAAGACACTAAGATCTGAGCAGCTGTCCTCCCCACACTGTAGTTGTTACATGCCATCGGGGGCTCAGCACTGCCTTTCTGGCCAAGGGGGCTTCGGGCACATGCAGCCCAGTCCAGGCCCTGAAGGGTGCACACTCCCCTTGCACATGCTCCAGTCCATGCCGCCCCTGCCAGCCCACCTGCTTTGCATCCCAGAGCCAGGCTTCCAAAATCCTGCCCCACCCCAGAGGATGCAGCAGGTCCCACCCCTGCGTAGGCCGGCTTTGTGAAGCCCAGACTGCCTTCCTGTGGGATCCCGGGCTGACCCGCCCTCGCCCTCTGGCTCTCCATGGAAAGCAGGCAGGACCACATTCTTCTGGTGTGATTTCTGCCCTTGCTGTTCTGTCCTGGGACGGCTCTCGGGGCCTCCTGATGCCCTACTTGGTCACAGGATCCAGGATCTGCAGAGAAGAGGGGTGTCCAGGGCCTGTCTACCCCACATGGGAACTTCCAAACCCTCCAGCTGAGCAGCTGGACCTTCCAGTGATGGGCAAGTGAAGCCATAGTCAGGCAACCCTTTAACAACCTCTTTTTGCACGTGAGGTGCCAGTTTGCCTCTGTATCATTTCCACCCACGCTGTGGTGGGTAGGGGTGGAGGTGGGCCTGAGGTCTTACTTAGGTCTTCCTGCCGAGAATGCTGAGGGCGAGTTTCTCTTTTGTCACTGAAACCCACCCACCCCTGCCAAATGGCAGGGCAGACAGCGCTGGGATGGGAGTCCTGACACCAGGATTCGAGGTCAGACACCCCAGCCATGGAGTCTTTACCAAGTTCAGGGCCCTCCTTGGGTCTCTTTGCCCATCTGTCAAAAAAGGAGACAGTGCCAACCTGGTTTTGCATCAGAACCAGCTAGAAGCTTATGACAGCCAGATCCTGGGCCCATCCCTCTCCTGAGTCAGTTTCTCTGGGAGTGGAGTCTGGGATGTGTCACAAGTAGCTTGTAGAACAGCCAGCCCTGGGAGCCCAGGGCTCAGGAATTCCAGACGCCTTTAGTTTCCATTCTTTGCCTTCCTCAAGAAATCTCTCAAATTCCCTTGTGCATGAAAATCATGGCTGCGAAATCACAACTTTTGGCTTCTCTTTATGTCTTGCTCCTCTGTGAATGGCAAATGGCTGGTACCCTCCACTGGGATCTGGGTCTAGGCAGAGGCTTCCCAGAGTTGAACCGCCTGCTGCCTGAGGCTTTTTGTTTTCTTGGCTGGAGCCCAGCCAGCCTGGACATGCTTCCTCCCTGGCCCCTTATCCAGCGATGCCCCCGCCTTGTGGGTCCTATGTGTGGCCAGGCAGTGGGACTGCGTGCTGAGATGCTAAGCTCGCAGCCCCTGTTTTATTATCTAAGAGGTCCTGGGGCTCTGTCTTTCTGAAACAGTCTGCCACTAGGTGGGTAAGCATCACCCAAGAGGCTCAAGTGAGGTCCTAACTTGAGGACCACCTATACGAAAGCAGGATGAACCTGGCCACTGGGCATGTGTGGCCAATGGCCACCATCCTGCAGCAGAGCATCCTGCAGGCACCAGACGAGAGGCCAGAATGACCTTTAAGGCGAAGAGGGCAACGTTTTGGGGAGAGGCAGACTCGGCAAAAACCCATGCCACCCCTTCCTCTCCCATCCTTCAGGGAGCAGATGGCCTCCCACCTGGCATGCTGCAAGGTCCAGACTGGAGGCTGGCAAAAAGCAGTGAGCAAACAGGTTTTACTTAGACCTCTGAGTGTCAGCCTGCACAGTGTTCTGAAAAGTATGAGTTAGCTGTCAACCTTTAGAAATGGGTGGATTCCACATAAATGCCCAGATTCCCAGCTTCTCTTAAAAAATCTGTAGAGCTGGCAAGACTGCGCCCACATTCTGATGTGGCAACAGCCGGTGAGGCTGAGAGGCAGCCCCATTCTAGGGAAAGTGAGACTCCCTATTTGGCTCAGAACTGAGGGCATGAGTCTCCAGACCAAGACCCCAGTGAGGACCCAGTACAAGGATGAGAAAGTGCACACCAACGCCCTTCACTGTGAAACCTGAGGACACTGGGGGGAAGGTCCTATAGGGAGAGGGGAGGATGGGGAGACGGAGAGAAGGGGAGGCAGGGGAGGAGAAAAGCAGGTCCCACGAGAGGATCTGGGATGACCTCCCAAAGCAACCCTGGAACCTAAAACACACTGTCGGGTGAGTGAACCAGGAGAGAAGCACCTAACCTAGTTAGAACAGGCTTCCTGGAGAAAGTGGCTGGATGGGAAAGCTGGGGACAAGCACAACTGCAGGCATGCGTGGGGGGGAAGCAAGTGTGGACACCTACTTTTGGCAGCTTCCAGGTCCCAGACGCGGATGGAGCCCGACTGGGAGCCAGCCACGATGAGCTCCTCGGGGGTGTTGAGACGGACGCTCTCCACAGGGGACGTGTGACCCGTCAGGCTCTGAGGAGAGAAGGTAGCAGCTTTGGTGCGCTGTGTCAACAGACCCCCAGCTGCTGCCCCAAATCCTGGATCCCCGGGAAGCTCATCAAGCAGGGATCCTGTGGCCCCCCAGGCCTCTCGGCTCCCAGGGCTGAAAGTGGGCCAGACCCCAGCCACACTCCATCACCCGCTGTGCTCCCAACAGGAACGTCACCTGCAGGAGTGGCCCTCCAGGGGGGCAGCTGACCCTTCAGTCCCAAGTCCAAAGCACTGTCCTCCTGGACTGTGCTCCCATCTCTACTCTGCCTGGCCCAGCCCTCCAGAGGGGAAATCATGGCAGAACTGAGGTCTGACCTGTCAGTGGCCTCTGGAGCCCCCAGGTCCCCAGGGGCTGACCCCCACCAGAGGACCTGGGAGTGATTCTGCTGGAAACACAGACACTCTCCCCAATTCAGACCAGCCTCTGTTGATTCTTTTTCAATTGGGGTGTGTTACTCTGGCATTTCAGGGAGCAGGAAACACACCTGATCCCCCAAAACAAAGTGATGCAAAACAATTTCAATTCTCTTCTTAACCCAATCTCAGTTCTGACCTTAACCTTGGCCATGGTTTGGGTCAGATCTCAGCTGTCCATTGGATCTCACAAGAGCACTGAGTTGATCATGTTTCTACGGATAAACCTCACCTCCTTTTTATCTTTACTCGGTTAAGAGTCAAAAGAACACTGTCCTGTGCAGCAAGATTGGAGGAGGAGAGGGCAAGCTTCAGTGCCACCGATGAGAATGTAAATTGACTTCTGGAGGGCAGTTTGGCAATATGTTTTGAAAGCTTTATAAAAAGTACACACCCACAGATTCAATCTTATGATTGCAGATCGGTCTGAAGATTTAGGGAGATGAGGATGTGCCCCACTGTGGCTAGGCTGAGCCAAAAACCTGGCTGTGACTTCCACACTGGGAGCCAGGCTCAACCCTACAATGGGATACCATGAAGCTATTAAAACTCGTGTTGTAAAAGGGTATTTGCTGACACAGGAAAACACTCTCAATGTTGCTATATTTTAAAAAACCAGGCTACAAAAGAGTAAGACAGTGTACTGGAAACATATTGTTATATATTTCTGTGTGTGTACACGTGGGCATGTTTACATGTGTACACATAGGCACAAGTCTGCACACACATGCACGCATATGTGTCTGTATCAGCCCCTAGAAGCACACAGACCAAAGTGCCAGGTGTAATGGTCCTTGGATAATCAAACTGCACAGAACTCATTTCTGTATTTTTTTCCCCTCCTGTGTGATTTCGTTTTGGAAAACGGTTTTTGGCATTGAATACAGTTGTGTAACCAGGGGGACAGTGCTAATGAAATGGAGCAGAACCCTACAGGGCCTTCCCAGGACAGATGCCACCCACCTCCATGTCCTCTGCCTGCCTTTTATCTGGAGAAAAACTTTTGTCAGAGAACAAATTCAATCAGAGAAGTAAGGAAAATGCAGAAGAAGCAAAGGCAAGCAGCCAAACAAGACCAAATAATAAGAGTTTAGTCATTAAACAAACTCAAGGAGCTTTGGTTCCTTCTCAAGGGCTGTGGATCCTGACCTGAACCCTATCTTGTCAAGCTGTCTTGTAGATATCGAAACTCCCACCAGATGGAAGAAGCTGACTACATGACGACCACACTGTCACCATGACGTAAGATGCCACAGTTCTGAGAACTGGCCTCAAAGAAACGGGAACAGACAGACCATGAAGCTGGACACGCTGCTGGGTGGACCACCGCACAGCCGACTTCCGGTGACGTCAGAGCTGGCTGTGCCGCTCTGCACGTGGCTCCCTCGCATCAGCTACACACCTCTGAAACTCCCCTTTAAAAGTTCTTGCCCTCTGATCAATAGAGGGGAACTGGCCATTGGACACAAGACCACCTCCCCACCAGCTGCCAGCCTCCTGAATAAAGCAAACTTTCCTTTCAACCGACACTTGTATTAGCTCCCAAGCCAAGCAGAGTTGAGTTCATTAACACTATTAAAGAACCAGTCCTCTAACCAGCTCCAACCAGGGGCATTCAAATCCCTTTTGTGGAATGAAGTGGGCAATGAATCAAAATAACCCTGCATATAACTAACAGGCAAGTGTACAGGCCAATGGGCAAGGGAGGCTCAGATTCGGGCCTGTAGGCTTATTTTAGCCTTTTCATACAGGCTCCCCAGAATTCCTTCCCACGACCAGGTGACCGCCCCCGCTCCCCATTCCTGAGGACTGGCTGCTGTCCCAGCCATCTGGGTCGTTCTGGACTTCCCTGAGCAGACAACTTGGGGGGAGCACTGATGTGCTGGGTTTCTGCAAAGCTGCCCACTCCCAGCACCCATCCCTGGCCTGCCCATCTGCCCCACCCTGCCCACCGGCCGAACCTCACCATGATGCAGTTGGGCTTGTTGATGGACCACAGGTTGACGCGGCAGTCATCCCCACCCGTGGCCAGCAGCCGGCCCGAGGCTTTGCCCAGCACCAGTGAGGACACATTGCTGGCGTGGGCCACGATCTCCTCTATACAGGGAAGAGCAGAGGGAGAAGACAGTCAGGGGCCTGACAGGCCACGTGGAGGCAGGCTGGGCCTTATCCTGCTTGGCCCCCATCCCTGGCTCCGGAAGCCCGGAGGGAGGGCCCTGCTCCCTGCGGCTCCCTTTGGTGCCCAGACACACGCCATGAGCAGTGAGACAGTGCAGGGCTTGGGCCTGAGACAGAAACAACAATTTCTCAACTTCACTCACTCCCATCCTACCCTTAAGCCTCATGAATTTTTTTCCTTTTTCTGCATATCAATGGGTACTATTATTAAGTTACTATGATCAGTTTTAAAAACTGACTTGCTATTTTTATTTAGCTTTGTCATTTAAGCAATAACACACATGAAAATTACAAGCTTGATATGTTCACTACATTTTTTCTATAATACAAAAAGAAAAATGAAACCAATGATTAAAATAAAAAATATTGACCCATGTACCACCTAAGGGCCTCTCAACTGCCCTGGTGTTCCCGCTTGGGGAACCATACAGGTCAACGACAGACAAGCTGTCCCCAGGTGAGCTCAGCCAGGGCTGCAGCATCATGGACTGGGCTCTGGTCCGAGCTCTGCTATTGCAGGCTGTGTGGCCTTGGACAAGTTGCTCACCCTCTCTGAGTGCTGCACTCCTCGGATAAATGGGGATAATAATAGTGCGTGGCTCGCTGGACTGCTGAGGATTCACTGAGGACATTCCTGTGACCTTCTGTGAGGGGCTGAATACTCATGGCTGCCAGGCAGGCTACAGATCAGACATCATGGAGAGTGGGCACTGCGGCCCGGGAGAAATCCAGGAGGTGGGCTGCGTGAGGAGGGAGCAGGAGGCAGCCAAACTGAGGGGTTGGGTGTGAGAGTCGAATGGACAGAGGAGGAGGTAAGGTCACTGTGGGTGGCCCCGAGGGCCCATGGCCTGGACTTGGGGGGGAGGCGGGGTTGCAGCAGACACTAAGTCTCAGAGGGCATCGCCAGAGAAGGAACAGGCAAGGAACCAAGAGGCAGCCCAGGTCTCCGAGCCAGGGCCTGAGTAGTCTCTCCTGAGAAGGGGGAGGAAAGAAACAGAGTCCCCACACAGACAAGGGAAACATGCTGATGCGCTGAGGCAGCTGGGAGGCTGGCCTGGGCCACGCTGAGGGAGAGGGCGGTGCAGCTGCTCTGCAGAGGCCCGTCCTGGGCGCCTGCTCCAGCCTCCAGCCTCCGCCTTGCCTGGGGGTCTCTGTGGTGTTGGCCTCAGACTGCAGGGAGGCTGGGAAGTTGGGCTGGGAAAGGATGCTGGCCAGGCGGCATGCCTCACAGGGGCTTTCAGAACTGCCTGGGGGACTAGGCCCCAGGCTCAACCTCACAGACGACACCCCACCTCAAGGGGTGGCGGGGCCAGCCCCAGCCAGGTGAGAGCTCCCGGCAGGCTCAAACGTGAGCCGGGGCCTGGGGGGCCCTGCCCCTGGAGTCGAGGAAGCTGGGCCTCTCTCTGGTCCACACCTCGGCCAAGCAGCTTTCTGTCCCCTAGACACTGTAGCACAGATGCGTGGGTGCCCTGGGGCTCTGGTCACAGAGAGTTATCTGTTCATGAGCTTCTGTTGGGCCGGACTGACTGCCCAATTTAGCTAGAGGCCAAACCGTCTTCCCCTGAGCACTGCGATCCCCCAGCCCGGGGCCCCTCCTGTTCTCTGAAGACACACCCTACATGTGATGCCCTCCATGCGTGACCCACCAGGAGGCCTAGCTGCCCACCCTGCCTCTCAGCCTTCCCAGGGAAATTTCGGGCTGGGCCCCACCGCACTGGGTCTCCTGGGCCCACTGCCACCCTTCTCTGCATCTCAGGACCACTGCCTGCAGAGACAGCCATTAACACATAGTATGAATGTTTCCTGGGTGTCTGCGAGAGGCCCTGCGCTGAGAGACGGTGGGGAGTGACAGTGATAAGGTTCTCGTCTCCACGCTCCAGCCTGGTCAGATGGCTCCAGGGACAGGACATCCAGCCCAAGGAACTGCAGACTTTAGGGCAAGCAGAATTTGAAGACTGGGCCCTTCTAGAAGGGCTCAGACTACTCCCCTGCAAGAAGCCTGACCAGGGGATTGGCTGGAACCCCTGGAGGGACCAGCGGGTGGGGTGGGGAGAGCGGGGGCACACCTCAGGCATCAGGCAGAGAAGGGCTCGGCACAGGGCACTAGCCTAAGAGCTCCCAGTCTGGCCTGAAGGATGGTACCCTGCAGTGGCCCAGGCCTGGGTACTGAATTTAAATGCAAACAAACAGAAGTCCTCACAGCTGGCCAGGCCAATGGCTGCTGCTCTACTGTGGGGCCCAGGCTCATGCTGGTTTCCCAAGCTCAGGGGGCACAGTCTGGACCCCACATCCCAGCCAGAGCTAGGGGGACACTGTGTTCTGGTCAGAAGCGCTAAGCACCTGCATGCCAATAGAAGGTGCAAAGAACTGGGCTTCAGCAAGCACTTTCTGATCCTCCTCAGACTCTGGAACCATAAGGAGCCAGAAGTCATTTGGCCTTTGAGCTCTTTAGACAATTTATACTCATGGAAACTGCTGTGCACATGAAATTGTCAGCAGATGCCCAACACGCCTGATCACGTCACTTCCCACCTGAATGCTCTGATGGCTTGGCCTCGCCTTTCAGATAAAGTCAAAGCCTCAGAAGGGCTGGGTAAGGTCCCAGAAGACCTTACCAACCTATGTAGCACCACATTCTTCCCACAGCATGCTGTAGCCCATGGCCTCCTCTGAGACCTTGAAACCCACCAAGTTTCCTGCCTCAGGGCCTTTGCACATGCTGTTTAGACAGCCCACCACACTCCTCTACTCCTACCCCCTCTATCATGTAGTTAACTGATTTAAAGCACACATTCCAGCTTGAAATCAGAGAAGGAGAGACAGGTGAGTGTGATTACCTGATTCCCACGTGCTGTGCTCCCCAGACTCTAAGCCCCACTGTTACCTTGCCCTTGCCTGTCTCAGCAGGGCCTGGTTCTTTCCTGGTTTCTCAGGAAAAACCAGCTGTTGAAGGTATATATACATAACCCCAATAAATATAGAGCCATTCTGTCCAAAGTGCACCTTCTTGGGAGCCCATAACATGATTCTCCCTAAACTCTGGAACTGAGGAGCAATTTGAACATGGCCCAATCTTCTCATTTACAAATGAGGGCACTGAGACCCAGCAGAGAGTTTTGCTCAGGTTCTCACAGTTAAAAAGTGGAGGACCCCGGCCCTGCTTCTGAAAACAGCCCAGGGACAGCTCATAGCAAAGGATGACCAGTTTGGACACATCAGATCTATGCCAGCCAGTTATTACTAGAGGAGTATGGCCCACAGAGGCACCAGATGCAAAGCAACAGGTCTCAAAATATGATCCAGGGAAACCTGGGACCCTCAAGATCCTTTCAGGGGATCCAAGAGAACAAAACTACTTTTATCATAATACTAAGATGGAGTCTGACTTTTATACTCTCATCTCCTCACAAGAATATGGTGGCATTTTCCAGAGGATACATGACATGTGATGACATCATCATTAACAGTATGTTTGTGCGTTGTTTTCAAATGTCTCAATGTTCACTTCTGAAGTGGTAAATGTGGGTAGATATGAGTCCCATAAACAAAAACTCTTTGTGATCCTCAGTAAGTTTTAAGAATATCAAAGCGACCTAAGATCAAAGAGTTTAGAGGTGTCAGTTTACAGTAATGGTGGCGGTGGGTGGTACCTGGATTCAGATACATTGCAGAGGCTATTAGCAGCCCCCTGCCTACCCTCTCACTTCCGACCCAGTCCCAAGATGTTGTCATCTGATGAGGGAGTTTGACTGGTGAGACGTCTGAAAACACCAAGGACATCTTTGAGGGGCACCATCCCATTTGCTTGCCTAACTGGAAATCCTGCTAAGTGCTTTATTATGTTCATTTTCTCACTTGAATCTCACAGCAGTTCTAGCATGGAAGCGTGATTATCTCATCGTAAAGACAGGAAACTAAACCTCTGAGAGGTTAAGTCACTTAGGCAGTCTCACTCACTGCCAAAGTCATGATTTGCATGTTGGTCTATTTTATGCCAAAGAATGGGAGTCTCCCCTTGTGCCAAGAGTGGAAGACAAAGTTGAGGGTCCGGGCCACCCACCAACAAACAGCTACCGGGGTAAATGGGGTAAGAAAGCAAGCCACTCACGCAACTTCCAGGCCGTCTTGGTGACCACAGGGGTGGCCATCCTTCAGCTGGCTGGCACCTGAAGGTCCACCCACAATAGACTGTGCTTTCCTTGTGGGGTGGGGGTGGATCCCCCCCAGATCCACCAATCAAGTTGGCAGGGAGTTTCCACACATGCAGGCAGAGGGAATGCCTCTCTCCAGACCACCTCGTGGTTTTAAATCATCCACAGCAGCAGCCCGTGCGTGCCTTTTGGGATCCTGGGTGATGGAATGTCAAGCTTGAGCCATCTCAGCTCAACACTGGGCTGGAATACAAACAGAGGTGATGGCTTGTTAGCAAACACTCAGGGGGAGCTCAGGGGGTCCCTGGGTTTACAGAACTGCAGCTGCAGCTCCCTCGATGGCCAAGGTCACTTGATAAAAACAGACACCCACCAAAGGCACCAGAGACAAGAGCTCCACTGCAAGCTGGGTTTGAGAATCTGCAGAGGGGTATCTCAGGCAGGGTGGCTGAAGCACAGAGAAAAAGAAGGTTCTCTCAGTGGCCAGGATGATGGGAGGAGGTTCTGTTCCAGGAGGTTGGCTGCCTGAAATGCAGCTGAAATGCAGCAGCTGCAGTGGGGCGGGGAAGAAAGACCACATGTCTGCAGTTCCCATAGATCTGAGAGTCAGTTTTGTCTGACGTATGGGAAGGGGGCGGAGTCAGAGACTAAGTTTAGGGGGCCACGAGAGGCACCCGAGAGATAGAGACTGAAGTTTTCTCTAGGTAGAGTCTTGAAATGGGCCCTGGGAGTCCAGTATGAATCAAGGGAACTACTCCAGGTCCCTGCCATTTCCAAGGACAGTGCTGGGAACTAGGCCTCCAGACTGGGCATGAGTCGGTATGACTCTTCAGCATTAAAAGGCGACCTCATGGAGCCTTCTATCCGCTCCTCCAAGCCTCTTTCTCCTGGATTCCCCAGGTCTGCCTCTCTAGTTCTCCATTCTCTCCTCCTTCTCCCTGCCGCCTGTGTGTGCACATCCGGTCTCCAGGGCTCCCTAACTTGGCCCCTGCCTCGCCAGACCCTCTTAAGTCCCCCCTTTTCTCTCTGCTATCCCCATTCATTCACTCTCCTGCTTCAAGTGTCCCCATTCATCCCCCCTCCTCCCGCAGACCCCCGGCTCTCCTTCCGGCCTCCCAGGAGTTTCCCCTCGGGCCTCCACACCGGTCCCGCCCCTCCCGAAGCTGGGGCTGGTCCCTCGGCCCTGCCTAACCCTCCCACTCCTCTCAGCACTGGCTCCAGCCTCCCTCCGCCCAGAGCCTTCTCCGTCGCATCCCAGCCTGGCCCCGCCTGGCTCGCCCCAGCCCAAGGCTCAACCTCCCCTCGCCGCCTCGCCCCTTCGCCCCTTCGCCCCCTCGCCCACTCCACCTGCAGCTGCGGCTCGGAAGGCCGAGGCTCCGCTCCAGGCGCGACCCCCACTTGCCTCCATCCCCTGGCCTGATTGGTCGCTGCTTGACAACCGACCCTCACAACAAAACCTCCGCTCAGAGCCCCTCCTTCCTCATTCCCAGCACCAATCAACCGTCGCGAGCACTCCACCTCCCTTCGGGTATGACCAATAGAAGCAGGCGCTTCTGCCGCCCTCTCCTAAGTGCCCGCCCTCTTTTCCTGAATTGGACTAATCATGAGGAAGGAGAGTTCAAGAGCCGCCCCTAGGCCTCTAGTGAACCAATGCGAGCTGCCGTTTCCTTGGTTCCGCCTCCGCCTCAAGTTTTCCCTTTCCATCTCTTTCACTAAAACTAGTTTGCACTTAAAATTTTTTTTTCGAAACGCCCACCAAGGGCGGCTGCACCAATCGCTTTAGCAACCGTCACAAATTGACCAATCAACAACCGTATTATTGGAAAACCAATTTCAGGATAGCCAATAGGAAGGGGACATCAGGAGCAGCGTGAAGCCACCGACCTTCCATCTTGGATTGGGGTAAAACGGGGGAAGAGGCCTTAGTCAGCACTTTGCCGAGACTACTGTTTCTTCTTTTTCCTCGGGTTCGGTGCTCGCGTGCTCTGAGAACTTTGTCTCTCTTCTCTGGCTCGGACCCCGGCTTGAATTCCACGCAGGAGGCTTAGAGGGAATAGGAGTCTGACTCCGGGTCCGAGTCAGTCTTGGAGCCCGGGAGTGCTACCCCCACGGCCTCGATGAATGGATGAGTGCGCTGCAGCTTGAGGGGGGCCACCAGTTTGGATTTGGAACCCGATAAAGGCCGACTTCATTTGGGACTCGGGTGGGGTGGGCTTTGGGAAGGGCCGCTACCCACAGAAGTCAGAGGAGCAGGGGTCACACACATGTCTTGGGAGAAAGCCACTGGAATCTTGCTTAAAGGGATATAATGCTTAAGAAGTCAGAGTCGGGGTTAAGGTTGAGACAGCCATGTAGCTCTGGATACGGTACATTTCAGAGCTTCCAGTTTCTTTTCTGCAAAATGAGGGTCTTGCACCCCCACCAAGCATGGCTGGAGTGGCCCAGCTCATAAAGTGGGAATGGCAAGCCCAAGGTGTGTGCCCCAGAACTTGGGTTCTTGACGCTAGACTGCAAGAGACTGAATTCCAGCACCTCTTATCAGCCACTAATTAGCCATGTGTGAAATGGGGATGGAGTTGCTGTGTTAAATAAGATAAGGCTGCAAAGGTGGTCCCAGGCCACAGATAAAGAAGGGAAGGAGAAAAAGGCTGCTGCTGGAGTCTGTGAAACATGAGGTACACGTGGCAAATGGCAAGTGTTTATTTACAGGCAAATTAGGAAAAGCGGGAAGGTAATGTGCCTGAGTGGATGGTCATTAGCTGGGCATAGGGAACACGAGGGCCAGGCTTTGGGGGAGGTTTCTTTCTCTGGCAGCTTTGCTGAGGTCTCAGGAGGGACTCAAAGGACCACAAGTGTAGGGGGTGAAGAGCATCAAACGAAGACTTTAAGTAACTCCACCAGGCGTGGGTCCTTGTAGAGTTTTTCCTCCAGAGCCAAGTACTTCAGTGGGGCCAGCTCCTTGTGTCTGAAATCAGAGCGAGGGGTTACAAAGCTGGTACTGGGAGACTTCCCTGGTGGTCCAGTGGTTAAGAATCCTTCCATTGCAGGGGACATGGGTTTGATCTCTGGTCGGGGAACTGAGATCCCACATGCTGCAGGGCAATTAAACCTGCGTGCCACAACCAGAGAAGCCTATGCACCTCAATGAGGACCCAGCACAGCCAAAAATACAAAAGCTGGTGCTCCAACATCCTTGTGGGTCCTCTCAGCTCCCCCCACCCCTGCCTCCTCACCGACTGAGCCGCTGCTCGAGGATACGGATACGGAACATGGCCTGAGAGCAGTAACTCAGGTATAAGTCTTCATCCTCAGGCGTCAGGGTCACCTGATTCTCCTGATACCACTGTTGCTTCTTCTGCAGCTCTTGAGTCTCCTGTGAGCATGGGGAAGGAGAGCAGAAGAGCTGACCCAGACTGCAGGCTGATCCCGCCCCCTGCACTGGGCATCAGACAGCCCCACAAGGTCAGCCCCATCACTCCTCATAGAAGCCAGAGAAGCAGAGGCAAGAAACCCTTGTTTAAGGGATACATGTCCACGAGGACTTCCCAGGTGGCTCAGTGGTAAAGAATCAGCCTGCTAATAGAGGAGACGAGGGTTCAATCCCTGACTGGGGAAGATCCCCTGGAGAAGGAAATGACAACCCACTCTAGTATTCTTGCCTGGGAAATCCCATGGACAGAGGACCCTGGTGGGCTATAGTCCATGGGATCAGAAAGAGTCAGACATAACTTAGCGACTAAACAACAACAACATGTCCACGAGGTTAGAACAGGAGTCAGGACTGAGAGCCACGTGACTCTGGTCAAAGTATATTTTCAGAGCTTCCAATCTGTCATCTGCAAAATGAGGGTCATTGCATACACCCCCACCCCCACCACCATAGAGCTGTTTGTGAAGATTAAATAAGATAATGCAGGGGAACTACATGATGTGTACCTGACCAACAGAAATGGGTCAAAAACTATAGGAGTTGTTATAATGCTCCATCCATCCATCCACCCTTCCATCCCTCTGTTCACTCATCCACCCCTCCATCCACCCTTCCACCCAATAAACAAGGATGAGGAAGGACAACTTGGTCCTTTGGACACACCAAACACTGATCTCCTCCCCCTCTGCCCATTAGTCCCTCACAAGTCTATGAGATGGTGAGCCAACAGCCCTGGGCCGGTTTTCCGGTAGAGGATGCCGAGGTCCCCACCCCTGCCAGGGCCCTGGCTGCACCTTTTCAAACCGGGCCTGGATGAGGTTGGCTTTGTCGATGAGCCGCTGCTTGAAGTCATTGAGGCACTCATCCTTGAGGCGTACGGCCTGCCAGCGCGTTAGCTTCTCCCCGGGCGGGAGCTGTGCCAGGAACGGGGCCAGGTAGTCCAGCTGGGCCTCCACCTGCCGCCGGTGCTCCTCGTGTAACACACGCTCCTGTAAGAGGGGGCCAGGGGGTCAGCTGGACCAGCAGGGGCTGCAGACATCCCCCAGCCAGCTCTATCAAGATGTGACCACACAGAACCAGGCCTCAAACCCTCTATGCTTGAGGCCTCAGAGGGCTCTTCGCTGTCTCCTGAGATCACAGCCAACTCCTGTGTCTGTGAGTTTACACGTCTCCACTTGAGCATCAGTACATACCTATCACTCGGCAAATGCTCGCTCGATAAATGGTAATAAAGCATGGTTGTTAATGATGTTAAAAACTGCTGGTGAGTCCCTTTTTTCCCTTCCACCCTGGGGCCTTCTTTATGTCCTGTGTTGGCCGCCAGGGCCAGTGAAGCTGGAGATGTGGGGGCGGACATCCCCACCTCTGGGGGTCTGAGAACCAGACCTCAGGTGCCCAGTCCTGTCTTGCCAACCTCATCTATTTTCTTTTTAGGCATCTCCACTTGATTGGTGAAGGGGATTTAGAAGCTGGCCTCAAAAAACCAAGCTCGGCAACCAGGGTGGGTAATGTGAAGGCCCTGAGTGCAGGGGCCAGAGAACTCAAGCCCGTGGCCAGGTCACAACCTCCAGGGAAGCCCCCAAGTGTACGTCTTGGCTTGGCCATAGCTCCTGGAGGTGGTGTGGGGGGACCTGGCCTGTATCCTGAGCACGTGTTGAAGAGTGATCCAGGGAAATGGTGAGCTCACAGCAAAGATGACCACTGTAGTGTCAATAACTTCATTGCCTCTAAAAGGCTTCCCCGCAGAATCTCTATCAACCTCAGCACCCTGGAGATGAGGGAGGGGTGGGGGGTGAGGGGCCCGGGGAAGCCAGGGAGCAGGGCTCACCATGGCCTCCCGGTACTCCTTGCTCTTCTCGTTGCGCTTGGTGTCGTAGATGGAGATGGTCAGCGTGTGTGCCTCCTCCTCCTCCTCCCGAAGCTTCAGGATCTCCAGCACCTGAGTTGGGAAGTAGGGGCAGACATGGTTAAAACACCCCCACCCCTGCTACCTGCCACCTGCCCACTCTCCCACGGAACACCCGACCTCCAGCTCCGACTCCCAGGCCTGATGTCTGGACAACTTCTCCTCGTTCTTCAGCTTCATCATGGCCTCGTACTGGTAGAGAAGCTTCTTGGTGTGCTCCATCGGCTCCACCTGGAACAACCACCAGTGACTCAGAGAAGCAGCAGCGAGGGCTGGGGTTGTGGGCAGATTCTGGAGCCAGATCTCTTGGGTTCAAATCTTCCCCTGCCATTTTCTAGCTGTGTGACCTCCAGCCAGTTGCTTCACTTCTCTGGATCTGTTGCATCTCTAAAAACACAACTAGCAACAGAAGAGAAACTGGAGACAGGGGGTCTAAGGGATGTGCCAGCCAAGTCAGAATTGGAACTAGGAAAGCCAGCCCGTGGAGGTGTTGAGATCTGTCACAGCCTTGGTCGCA